TGGCGATCCGCGATCGATCCATGACCAGCAATTCATCATCAGCTAGTAGCCTGACCTGGCATTGGCATCAATCTGACACCGTCGTATAGAGGGATCATGCGATGCAATGCAAATCAAACCGAATACAACCATCCCCGGAAAAGTTATCTGCCGCAAAAGTGATCACGTTGCAATAAGTTGCATGACATGTTCCATGCATATGCGTTGCATTCGATCCATTTCGGAGCAAATCGAAAGATCACGGAGCTAGCTAGGCCGTTTTGGTTTTGGTCTTACGTATGTACGAGCCGGACGACGTCGGCAGCGGCAGAAGCACACGGATAATTGCCATGTCGCGCGCGGCAGTGCGGTGACGCGATCCGCCGTCCCGACGCGCTCGGCGTCACGCGCGCGGCGGCGCCCAGCGGACTGGGAGTGCTTGACGTCGACGTCGTCCGGGGGGCCCCCGTTTCGTTTTAATTTTTGCCCGATGCATCGTGATCTCGATCGATCCATCCCGGCCGGGCTGGCGAAATCAACACGAAACTGCATGCAGCGCATATGCGGCGTGCGTACGTACGTCTCCATTGCTCGCGGCCGGCCGGAGGCGTAGGGCGCGCGCTTCTTCCCGGCCGGGGTGACGACACGGAGCCATGGGCGCCGTGGCAGGTGGCCGGGCGGCGGACAAGCGCACGGCGACACCGGCAGGTGTGGGGGCGGGCGTGTTCTTTCCTTGTGTCCGTCTCGTGCAATCCAGGCGCGCGGCCCATGCCGCGCGCGCCAACACCTCGCGCGTACGTTCCATCACGCAACAGGGTCGTCGTCGTCCATGCGGATGATTGCCGCTGCGCCAAGCGCCCGTACGTGACAAGGGCAACGGGGCGAGGCGGCTAGCGGGGGAGGAGGAAACGGGCGGGCCAGTTGATAGATGGCGGACGCGTGGGCCTGCCGCTCGCCCGACTGCAGGATTGGCAGTGCTAGCTATACTTGGTATTCAATCCATCCTAAAATAAATAATCCAGTACAAAATATAACACATTCTAATACTACGTATCTAAATATTTCTTATTCAGGTTCATAGTATTAAATTGTGTTTATATTTCATACTAGATTGATTTATTCTGTGACCGATGAAATACAAAAGTTCTCGTTACATTCCTTCTAGAATGCAGATCATACCTTAGCTTATTCTCATTCTGCTGGTCTATGCAGAGCCCTCGAGAAGTGATCTAGAAGAGGAAACAGAGCTAGACGCAACTGTCGCGAAAACGCATGCCATGCCGGCCGTATGCGATGCACGGTACGGGACGAAACGTTCTTCGTCTTCCCTTGCTTATTTGCTTTGCTTGAGAATGGATAACCGGTGATGCGCACACAGCATTGTCACGCTTCCCATGAGGCCATGATTGGGTAGGCACGCGTAGCCATCGTCGTAGTCTGCCCGGTTGTGAGCTGAGGCGCGGACGGACGTACGACGCGCGGTAGCAGCCAGCCTCGTGTAGCTTTCGGCGTCGTAGCCTCGTGCAGTCGTCGCGCCAAGTCGCGCTCTCACTCACCCGTCACCAACGCCGGTGGGGGCTTCGGCAGTTCGGCGAGTGGCCGCCGCAGCTACATTCCAGTGTAGCCGCGCGCTCACTTGTAGTACAAATAAGTGGGTACTGGGTAACCCGGTGTGCCGATTCACTTGCACATTTAATCCCGTCATGGTCTACCCTGTTGTTGAGTGAACACATCGTGCAGTAGTACTGGAACTGTGGAACATACGTTTCCATGCCCTACATGTGCCAGTGCCTCTTGATCTCAGGCTTTCGTCATTTCGTTGGAGAAGAGGTAACCCTTTTGGTAGATCATGAGAAGCAGTTGGTGTATTTTCCAGCTTCGAATTAACTTCTACGAGTATATAACCACAGATTTAGAATCTGGTGAGAATTAATTTAGTTGGAAGCTCTCTCATATAGGTCTGTAATCTGAATTCTCAAACACTATCCACGGGCCGGCCACTGGTTACAAGTTACTCCACTACCTGAATACCTGCATTGCCGCACTAGCTACCGCAAGTTACAGGATCATGATAACATTTAGAAACAGTTCATGCATCAATGATAAGCGCATCACGGCATCAGAGTGGCACATAGCACTAACAAAGCTAGCGCAAACTGGAATCCAGATAGGAAAATCCAAGGAGGAAACAGTTAGAACCTACTTTTGTAGGCACTGAAGAAGCGAAGAGAGTAGGGTGTTTTTGGTGGGTTTCAGTTATCCACAACATGGGTGCATTGTATGTACATTGGCCATGTTTGATTCGATAATATGCTTCAACAGAGATATGACGATAATCATATGAAACAACCAAATAAAACAACGCAATACCAACCATGGTACTTAATCATCATCGTCCATGCAAAGGAAGCAACATCTCGGTGTCGTTAAATGGCTTAAATTATGCTCGATGCCTCTCACAAAGTCACAAGTGGAAAGCAAAACATTTCTCAAAAATAAAATTCAGAACAATTGCGAAACTGACGACTAACTCAGGTTTAGTGAAAAGAACAGAGCAACCAGATCATCTTTTAGACTTTATGCAATACATGAGTGCTATTTTGTCGGGCAATTTGAAGGTCGGAATTGAAAGAAAACGAAACTGCTTACGTGTAGTGCACAAAGGGTTTCTTTGATGTCAGGTCAGGGTGAATGTCAGTAATAAGAAAAGTAATATCAGATCACAGAGATTTTTTGACTATCAACGGAGCTAAAATCTTGCACTGATGTACTTTCATCATAAGCTGTATTAAAAGATACATCACCTACTACGTGCATAAGAGTGATTTAATCGGCAATCATTAGTGATCAGTTCAACTTATAAGTTGCTGAAGATTTAGTGTCGGTATTATGGACAGCATGGAGAAAAGGAAACAGCAACCAATAATGTGGCAACTCAGCTTCATGAACAGGGATGCTTTATCAAACCCAAAGCTTGGATAAATATATTTGGAAGTTAGTAATAACTTGAACTCAGCAGAATGGCATCTCACATTAGTGGGACCTACGATCCTGATGGTCCAAATGTTTACAAAGTTGGTTCGAATATTCAATGATTCTGAAAGGGAGTGTGCTTAAATCACAAGGAAGCAAACTTATAATATTGCGACAAAATTGATGTATCTGTTCATCTTGCATCATATGGCCGAAAGTTTGCTCAGTACCATAAATTACAGACATTGGCTAATATGTAATATGTTTAAGAAATTGTAGCAACAGTCTTTAAAAAGGGAATATTTGCAGCTTCTTTTTTTTATTAACAAGCATAATGACAAACCCAATTTCACATAATGGTCAACGATTCTAATGGCATTCTCCATTTTCATGCTGAAGAGAGCTCACCTTATAAGCAATGTGCTTAAAGGTCCCCAACAATATGGTCTGCCAACTCAATCATGTACATTGTTCAGAAGCGAAAACTCAATCAATCATATACAGACACACCTCTGGAACCTGTTCACCTAGATCCTCTCGGATAGCCAAGTCTCTCCTAATTACTAAGAAGAAAGGTCACCACATGATAAGTCGATCAGAACAGCATGTCAGTTAAACTTCACATCAAATTTTTTTTTCTAAAGAGAGAGGGCGCACATGTCCATTCCGTTTGTAGAATATTATGTATTTGAGAAGCATAACTGACTTTAGAATTGTAATAACCCTCGTGGTGAAGCAAAAGATCTCATCCGGCAAACAAACATTGTCTCAAACAAATACAGAACAAATGGTAATTTGATGGTCACATGCCATAATTGTAGTATCCTGATGTCTGTATATTGTGGTTATGCATCTGTCTAAGTAGTTTTTATTGTGCAAAAAACTATATAAATCCACTTAATCAATTAGAAATTGCAATCCAACTGAGCCTTCCAGTAAGTAGATATTCATAAAGAACGCGTCGTTGTGGGGATGCTTAAAGTCCAGACATACAAGAATCGAAAGAACTCCCGTTCATCAATCTTAAGTGATCACTGATCAGTTCACTATCCTAAATTCCTGATGACTTGTAATGGTCAGAACTAACTTTTAGATAGCATAATGGTACCAAACATAAAAATGAATAGCACCGCTAATACCTTTTTAAAAACCATCTTTTTCTTGGGCCTGCTGCTTCCTCCCTCATCTGTTGGCCCATTAGTGCAATTGTTCTCGGCCTAGTTGGCATTCTAGAGGATTTCATTCCTATAGAAAATTTTCCTATATAGCCCATTTAATCAAAGGAATAAATCCTATGGAATCCTATGAAATTCCAATGGAATGCCTAATGTCATGCAAGTTTTTGAGGAAATCTAACGTAAGGTAGAACATCATATAAACTTTTCTTTGAGTCTTTATCTTTCCTCTAATTCCTGCGGTCCAATCGAAGAGTCATTCATGTGTTTGCAATCCTCCATATCAAAATCCTACGTTTTTCCTATTTCTATGTTTTCTCAATCCTGCGGTTCAAAGGGACCATAAGACAGTTTTCTTTATTTCCTTTTGACTTTAGCGTGCGACATTTTACCCTGTATTTTCACCTGCTTGAAAATTCACTGCAGAATGGATACCGTGCTGAGACGTGTCAACATTTTACCCTGTATTTTACCCTGCTGAAAGCTTCTATTATTTCAACTATGTCAATGCTTTGGTCATTCAGTGGTCATGAAGTGACAAGCACCCTCGATATGTTAGTACCAAAATGGTTAAAAGTGATTATTTTTCAAGAATCTATCAGTTCTTACTGACGATAGATGATATTCATGTGATCATGTCCATTTAGACACGCCCTGACGCAGTCTTATTATCAATGTCTCAATGTAGGTGAAGCAGCACTGAATCCCATTAAATTGGAATTTGAGGCACCCAAGAAAAACAGAACTCAAACCATTTATTTTTCAAAAAATAGTTTTAGCCTGGTAACACACATGCAATTCACAGGGGATTCTGTTTCCGACCTCACCAAGAGAGGAGCTCTCGTTCATACAGGCAGTATCAATCAGCTAGTATTTCGTAACCAAGAAAATAGTCCTTGAAATATGTAAATTGTTTCCCAGGGTCGCCAGTGACTTTACATCTATCTTCATGAGTCATGACTAGACTCTAGAGAAAGAACTATTGCATATAAATCAATAGCTGCACATAAACTTGTGTTTTTTGGCACTTCATGTGTTGTTTGTCCCTATGACTCGCTATAGATTAATGCCAACTAAGAAAGCCACTGATTAACCGATATTTCCAGTTGACCAGAAAAGTATCAACCTTACATCTTATCATAATCATCATCATTTCTGGAATGTCTTACTCACCGATAAACTATTAGCAACAAAAGAAATGCCCAGATATTTCAGCAGCAACAAGTGGTAATCATACGAAAATTGTTTGTGTGTGGTATAATTCTAGCTTTACTGAAGAAAGTATGATGTATAGTTTATAGTTTATCAGAGTGCCTTACTTTTACAGCTACAATTTAACCCATGACCTTTGGGCGCCATCCAGCAATGACATCCTCTTGCAGAGCTATAGTCTTGACAAATGAATCCATTGAAAAGATAGTCTGCGATTCAAATACTTCAGTTAGGATAAAATGTCCGAAAAACCATCATCCTTAGTATTTAGTAATATGCCACAAAAATTGGAAGTGAAAAGTGACTGGTTTATGAAGTTGACACATTACATATCGCACTAAAACTATCAGTATAATTTCACTGAAGGGGCACAGGACAGTTTGTGCAGGGGTAACATGCAACATGCATTGAGCATAACAGGGACATCACTGCTACAAACAAATTGGGCTTGTGTAAAAATTCAACTCCAAGTAAAGGTAACCCATAGCTTTGGAACTATGGATCATACTTCCAGCTAAGTGCCTTAAAAAACCAACTAATCATATTTTCAGAAAACTGATTGCACCAATAAATAAATAGATAAACAGTATACCTTCATATATTTTTTCACATGTGAAAGTGAATCTGGAACAGACCAATTCTTATAGTGACCTAGAGCTATCTCCATGTGATATAGTTTGGGGGCAAGAGAGAGATCAGCAGCAGATATTGTTTCACCGTTAATAAATGGACCCTGCACCAACCGACATCTTAGAACTAGTACATTTTACATTTCAGCTAAGTTACGGTGAAACAAATATGAACTGCAAAAACAGCAAAGCCAACATAATTGACATTAGGCCCACTTACATTGTCTTTTAGATAGCTATCGAATGAAGTCAGCTCACTAAGCAGTGCCTGTTCTGTTCCATCATTCGGATCTTTGCTTTTAAGGAAACCAATAAAGGTGGAAAATATTTTTGACCCGCTGTAAAGAAAGTTGTTCCCAATGGTTAGGATGCTAGTATGGACAACAATGTTGTATACTAAATAACACCATAGAATTGTTTTTTTTTAAAAAAAAAAGTGATCACAGATTTTTTAAGAAATACATTCGATCAATGTTACGCTTTACTACAGTCGGGATGTGTCAGGTGCTATAATTTTAACCTTAGAATACCAGGTCAGATTTATTACTAAGTAAAAGAAGTTGGCTAACTCTCACGATCATGCTTATACCAGGTTTGAAAGGCCAATTCTCAGTAGATGGTCTTGGATTATATAATATTCTTATTCAGAGGGTAACGAAAAATCTTCAACGCATAGTTATGGAATCCTTCTAGTTTTTATATGACTGTCACTAGTTTCATGTAGTAACTATTAAGGAACGCATTTAGTGAAACACTTACACTGAAGCCTTTTCTGGAGGAGTTGCCAAGGATGGTTCAGGGTACTTCTCTTCTATCGCTTGTGTAATAACATCAGAATCAGCAACCCATTGTTCCTCAAGCTTGACAATAGGCACCTTACCTTCTGGGCTAATTTTCAGAAACCTGGTAAGGCAAGAGAAAAGCATGATGGGCATGGAACTATCAACCAGCGCAACAGCCACAACAATCTGAAAGGCATGTTTCGCATCCAGATATATACCAATCAGGTTTGTTAGCGAGATCAACTAGTTTTATATCATACGGAAGATGCTTCTCCTCTATTGTCAACAACACTCTCTGTGTGAAAGGACCTGTGACAAACATAGCAAATTCAACTCAGAATGATGGAACCTTTTTCAACATGTTAGTACATAAAAAATTTGCAACGCAACTAAATTCTCAGCTGTAAAATTGCGCTTCTAACAACATGTACTCCGTGTCGTTAAAATGTGGCATACTGACATTGCCAACATGTTCTTTTACCCTAATCAATCAGATACCAATGTTAATTTGGCAGGCAGTGTGTTCTGCATTTTAATTTAGTAGCAGTTGCGCAAAAATTTAGGCGGTGTGTTCTGCATTCTGATCAGACAAAATTGTGCGTTAGAATGTGAAACAATTTTTGACTGCATTATGTCGCACAAACCGAGTATAGCTCTGCGCAAAGTGAATTGACAGCCAATACCGCCTACTACCTCCATATTTTAATGTATGACGCCGTTGACTTTTTGTCCAACGACCATTCATTTTATTCAAAAAAATTATGTAATTATCATTTATTTTATTATGACTTGATTCGTCATCAAATGTTCTTTAAGCATGACATAAATATTTTCATATTTGCACACAAATTTTAAATAAAACGAATGATCAAACGTTGGTCGAAAAGTCAACGGCGTCATACATTAAAATACGGAGGGAGTACGTTGCTAAATTCATCCAGCGCAGTTCGTTCAAAAAAAAAAATTCATCCAGCGCGCGTTCACACATAGAGATGGATAGGGAGAGGGCTCACAGTCGCCGAGGCGGTCGGGGACGGTGAGGGAGGCCTTGGCGCAGACCTCCAGCGGCTCCGCCGAGGCGCGAGCCGTGAGTAAGGCCGCGCGGCGCGGCGCCGAGCCGCGTGTCGCGGGGAGGAGGAGGAGGCGCCTGCCGCCGCGTCGGAACGTGGTGGCGAGGAGCGCCGTCGCCGAGGAGGAGCCGCCGCTCGTGGCGGTCGTAGCGGAGGTGGTGGTGCGGAGGAGGACGGCCATGCGTATCGGCAGCTCGCCGGAGCGGGCCGGCCTCCGGTGGTCGGGACGGGGACGGCGGTGAGGGGAGGCCGCAGAGGAGGAATTTTTTTTGAAAAAAAAAAAAAAACTTATCTCCTCGGGCGAGGCGTGTATGGTGGTGGCTTCCAGAATACGGAGGCCTCGCGATGCGAACTGTAGCAAAAAAATCGCCATGCTAGAGGGCGGCAGGGTGCCGCCTGCAAATTTCGCAAGGGCGATTTTTGGGTGGGTAGGTATAAAGGCCCAAAGCTGCCCAAAATCCATCATAACGGTCCACCAAAGTCCAGAGAAAGAAGAGGAGAGGGCTGAGGGGAGAGGGAAAGCGGCGAACCTCTGCCGGTTTGCGGACTCAGGCTACAGGTAAAACCTTCTGTTCTTTTCTGATTTTCATTCATACTCTATCCGTTCCATAAAAAGCCAATCCATAATAAATATGTCCAGATTTATTGGACTATCCAATACTATATTCTATTCTTTTTTCGGATGGAGGGAGTGTTGGTTTAGCATTGTAGTATAGGTAGGATTGGAATAGTTGCGAGTAGTGTACCGTATAAAAATTAGTTGTTCCGTCCATACAGTGGTGCAAAATTTATTAAAGGCAAAATCTAATTCGTGCGCGCTCTCTGTTTTGCCTTATCGCGCGACACGTTCATCTGCCGTCTGATCCCACAAGTGCTTGTGCATCCGTACATGACCTGGTGGTTTACGGACGTGGCATCATTTAGAGGAATTCAAATTGAAAGCCATGTGATGCTCTACGCTACACCGGCTTCAAAAATAATTTTCTCTTAAACTAATCATCCGATCTACGATCCGATTACACCGTTGTATTCGTAAGAATTGAATCTTTATAACAAGATCTCACATGATTATATTTTGATGAAAAAATAGAAATTACTCTTATAATATATCTAAATTACTTTTAGATTTCACTAAATTACTTCTTAGACCCATAAAAGTAAATTTAATAAAGCCTAAAAGTAATTTACATATATTATAGAAGTAAGGTAGAACAATAAGAAAGTAACTTTATCAGGATATTAAAAGTAAATCCATTATGGAGATAAAAACATGAGTCTATATAAAAATTAAATTTAATCAGTACAAATTACGTCATTGATTAAAAATGATTATAAAATAAACAATTCACAACATAAATGTATAGATTTCTTTTAATGTCGTAACAAGTTACTTCACTTTTATATTAAGTTACTTTCATAATATAGGTAAATTACTTTCAGGCTTTATTAAATTACTTTTGTGACTAAGAAGTAATTTAATGAAATCTAAAAGTAATTTAGATATATTATAAAAGTAATTTCTATTTTTTTCATAAAAATATAGTCATGTAAGATCTTGTTATAAAGATTTAATTGTTATGAACACAATGGTGTAATCGGATCGTAAATCGGATGAGTAATCTAATAGAAAATTCCATTAGAACAAAAAAAATACATGCACTTTTAAATATACTAGTAGCAACTAGATATGAGATTGAGGTAGCTAGTTATAACCATATAGAGAACGGTCTCGCTGTAGACACGTCCTTTATTAAACCTTAGTCGTTATAAGAAATCGCTACACAGTACTCGATTTGATGATGATGATTGTAACTTGGTTTAACTCCAATTTTTTTTCATGAGGAGATATGTCAAATAAGGTACGGAAACGCAGGTTTAACTCCATTTTTTTTATGATTGTAACCTGCTATCCTGGCCGTTGCTTACGCTTTGAGATTCGCGCACGCAGTGTATTGGAAGCTGGTATAGTAGCAAGTAATTCCTGTAGTAGTATACGCTGTTGTGGGACCCACTTCTATAGGCATGCACTGAGCTGGGACCCACTTCTTTGGAAGATGAACTGCAACGGTCAAAATTTGAAGTGCATGGGCCCACATTTTTGGGAGTTGAGTGGCTACTCTCAATTTTTTGATATTATATTTTTTTAAGTACACATTGCTTTAGGCTCGAATTTAAATTTCTATATCATTGTTTGGATATTTACGGTTTGCATAAAATTAGATTTATACATGCACCGGAAACAATTAAAATGTGATTACACTCATAATACATATATTCTTTCACGGTAAAAGAGATTATGCTCATAGATACATTTACCACAGAGCTAATGCTTTGGCTGAGTTTAGTTCCAAAATTTTTCTTCAAATATCCAACTTTTTCATCACATCAAAACTTTCCTACACACGTAAACTTCCAATTTTTCCGTCACATCGTTCCAATTTCAACCAAACTTCCAATTTTAGCGTGAACTAAACACTCTTTGTACCTTAATGTGTCATACCTTTTCATGTCTATTGGGTTGTCGATAAACTTTTAGCCTATGTTATTATTCACTACATCGTTTTACTGTGCTGCAATCCTCGGTCTTAATTTTGTGTCTTTACTTCTTGCTTGATTCATGTGTGTACTTACTTTCGCTACAACGTTCTTCATAGTTTTATATTTAATATTGTGCTACAACTTTCTAGTGCATGCGATTATGGAGTACCAGACACCGGAGCTGCTAAATCGGGGGCTCGATCGGTCACATCGGTCTTACTTGTCAGCAGTCGAGGGTGCCGAGCTTAGCACCTTCTGCCCACGACTTTCACGACAGCTCTTGCAGATCGACCCACGGTTCGTCGAGAGGTAAGCGCATCACAATCTTTTATTTCACTTTTCACATGTTCATATTTATCTTGCATTTAAACGGTGTTTGTATTTTTTTTTCAGGTTGCGTGAGGCTGGTCTTATTCCGTTGTGCAGGCTAGTTGAGGACTTAGCGAATGAGAAGGATCCATCGAGGCGATGGGTCGTAGATCAGTCCCTTCTGGCAGCCCTGGTGGATCGTTGGAGGCCAGAGACGTGCACGTTCCACCTTCCCTGTGGGGAGATGACACCAACACTGCAGGATGTCTCTTACCTACTTGGTCTTCCCCTCGCAGGGAGTGCTGTGGGTCCCATCGATGGGGCCCAAGGATGGGCGGCCGACATCACAGCCCGATTTTCCCACGTGCAGCGCCAGCTTGGACTAGGTGCTCCTAAAGCTCTCCCTCACTACATTACTTCTGGCCCCTCCAAGATGTGGCTTCTTCAGTTCACTGTAAGTTGAGAGTAGATATCAGAATAAACATTCACCTTAACCGAGACATGCAGTTTAACTAACACTTGGATTCTTTTGCAGAGTGATCTACTCCACCCTAATGCTGATGACTACTCAGTTAGACGGAGCTTGGAGGCGTACCTGCTCTGGCTTTTTGGCTGGGTGATGTTCACAGCCACGGAAGGCCGCGCAGTGGACAAGGGTCTAATCTACTACGCAAGAGCGATCGCTGATGCTGAGGATGGTAGTGTCCCACAGTGGAGCTGGGGCTCAGCCGTGCTTGCGGCGACGTATCGTGGTCTTTGTGATGCATGCACAAAGAACAACCCAACAATGATCATCGCCGGATGTCCTCTACTCCTACAGCTTTGGGTGGCCGAGCGGTTTTCGATGGGTCGCCCTGTGATGGACCAATCTCCTTATGAGGGCGGGTTTCGTGCTCTGCATGGGCATTCTGCCGAGGACCGTCCCACGATGGGGACACTATGGTGTCGACTTGAGGTATGTACCAACTGATTTTGAATTTATATTTCATACTGAATTTCACATGATTTACTAGTGACGTCTATTTAATGTATTACTTCGCAGCGCCGTTACGAGCATGTGCAGGTTAGGAAGGGGTACAAGCACTTTGTGATGGAGTTCGATCGCCTGCAACCCGACGATGTCGTCTGGGAGCCGTACAGTGCGCGGGCCATTATGGCACGTGCACCACTCGGCCTGTCATTTTTGTGCACACGTGACAAGGTGTATTGGATGACATTAGTGCCGATGGTGTTCGACATCGTCATCGAGCCTCACTGCCCGCAACGTGTGATGCGACAGTTTGGCCTACGTCAACACTTCCCTATGGTCGTGGAGCGTACTGTGCCACCCGGCGTTCGCCTGTTAGTACAACAACAAACATCCTACAATTTATTATGCAGATGATTAAAAATTCTAATTCAATACATCGCACTAGCTTTAATCGCAGTGAACAGGCAGCCAACACGCAGTGGACACCCCGCGTGCAGAAGTACATCGACAACTGGGTGTTAGCGACCGAGGAGGTCATCGACGAGGTCCGTGCACACACGGAGGCCACCTACCTTAGATACCTCAGGTGGTACCTACCTCGCACCCGCACGCGTGTGATGTTTACTCCTGTTGACCAGCAGCCACACGTCGCCGCCGTGACGGAAGCGTACCCGAGACACCGTGACCAGGACTACTTTGTCATGGTGAGTCATGTACTGTTCAAGAACTATATATTCCTACATCTGTGCTAATGGTTCTAACACATAGAAATTACCATTTGAAACAGCTCGAAGCCGCGCGTCGTGTTATTGTGGATGCTGAAGCATCCATCAGACTCTTGGACGCTGGGATAGTGGTGACAGGAGAGGAGCACAAGATGGCTTTCAGTAGGATCCGTAGCTCGACGAACACGATCGTGCGTGTGCTTACTTATCGTGCAAACGTGAACTCGGTGCCTCCGCTAGCGGTACCTCAGCACCGGCCACAGGCCCCTGTGCCCGGAGGTCAGACGTCTTCCTCGACAGGGCTATCAGGTCTCTACCAGCAGGGTTCCACTCAAGCAGCCACAAGTCAACACATAGCTCCCCTTCCCAAAGGTAGATTTTGTGATATACTATCAGTTCTTACGATGCTTCTTTATCCTAATGTGCGTTGTTTTAAAGCAATCTATATTCGTACAGGTTTCGTTAGACCATCAGATGTCTTTGCGGGAGTTGGTCCGCCCATGCAAGGAACCTGTGCCCCTCGTCCACACGTGCCGCTAGGAGTGAGCATTGGCAATGAGTTTATTCCAGGAGGTTCCACAGGTTCGTTGCAAGTTGCATAGTTGAATTTTTCACAGTAGTGTGCTATTTGTATTCTTCACATTGTAAAATTGGTTTTAATGTGCATGAGGTTCCATGCGACCCTGTTTGGGGTGCTTTTCAGGTGTTGGCTCATCTGCGCAGGGGTCACAAACCACTCCGACCTCAGGTTTGCCTTTACTCACATCTCGTTCAATTTTGTCGCTTGTACAACTATCGCCGTCTTTAGTTTCAAAGATTTTCTTCAAACTTTCAACTTTTCCATCACATCAAAACTTTCCTACACACATAAACTTCCAACTTTTCCGTCACATCGTTCCAATTTCAATCAAACTTTCAATTTTGGTGTGAACTAAACACAGAGTATATGTCATCTCACCCATTGTTCTATTGATTTTCACAGATTGTCATGGTAAGAGGAGGAAGCCTTGGAAGGATAGAGGTTTCGGGCAAGGTCAGTAGTACAGGAGTGCGGTACTTCACTCGTTGTGTTACAGACCTAATACTATAGCTTTTGTAGTAGACACTGTATTTCTCCTATCTTAAGTTTGAAACATGTTTTACTTCTTTCCTTGCTTGACTGCACATATCACCAGAGCATGTGTCCAAAACGTCACACTTACTGCTTTACATGCGCCTTTATTCGCCCTTCAGGTCTCTATCAGGTTATTATTACTGCTAAACATAGTGCAATCCAACATACTTTTAGTGCCTTTGCTACCGCTATTAGCACCTCCACAGATTTACAGTGCCATGAAAACCAACTTTCAACTACTCTATTGCCGCTTTCAGTTCTTTCACTCAGCTATCAGTTCTCTATCATGTCGATTCCAACGCAACATGTGGAATCTATTCAGCTCATCCACCTTTACTTGACTCGGCTCTATTTACATACATGCATTTAACCAACCCACCATGGGAATGTGATCTTCTGGATACAACTTTGTACTCTCGGTAGAGCAACATTTGCAAAAGTAATGATTTTTTTATGTGCAAAACTAATGCGATGACCAACAATTCTGCTCAACACTCATAAAGTATGACATACTTTGTTGTGGTTATGATTATACACATTATAGATTATAATCTAAACCATAGAAATAAAATGACAATTTGATTTATTCCAACTGAAGTCGCTGAGATTCATTCAAGAGTTAATTCACTGCAAGACGTGTGTTGCCATATATGTATTTTTTTTCCCTGCATATCTATCTATTATATACTAAAAATCCATGAAACTTCCTACAAACGCTCTCAAGCCGCCACGTGGCGCTCTAATAAAATAGAGAAAATCCTAGAAATTCTAAGAAAAAAACAAAACATCTATCCCTTGATTTTCACTTAAATTGGTGTGTCCAATATTATACACCATTAGATAAAATTGATCTTAAAACAAACTAAATACAATAGATCCACCTATCCTCTCCTCCCGTGAATTGGCAGATGGAGGATATACATACGTACATGGTATGTATGCTTCCTTCCCCCCCTTTTTTTTTTCTTTTTTCTTCTTTTTTCCATTTATATATATAATGGATATATTTTTTAAATAATCATAATTTTACAAACAAAGACTCTACCATCATATAATGCACTCTTTACTTTGCACTATTATTTTCAAACAATGCACTATTTTAAAATAAATTTTACACAATTATATCGTGTACTTATCAAATAAACAATATCTATATTAACTAATTTATACGTGCACTTAAACCGATGGCTCCATTATATAAATCATCGGATCTACTTTTTATTACACTGGTCTATCTATTATTCTCAAGTAATGCACTGTTTCAAAATAAGATCTACACCATTATACTGTGTACCCATTAAATTAACAATTTAAAATCTATATTAACTAATTTACACTTACACTAGAACTGGTGGACCTATTATTATAATCATCGGATCTATTATTTGCTAATAAATAAAGCGTCCAAAATTCTCTTTTTGCCCGCTGCACAATGCACGTCTGCACCTTTGCCTTTCGCACGTGTGACAAAGCATAGTATCTAATCACAACCGCTATAGCGCTACCGCTTTGCCACATATCAAATCATATATGGAGATGATTAATTTTGTTAATAACATGAAAAGAAAATTAAAGGTGTGATGCAGCGAGAGAATAATTAAGCACCATGGGTTGTGTTTTTCTCAGCAATAATTAGCTATGTTTAAGTTGAAACCAAGAGTTGATTACATAATAATTATAATATATTTGTGTTATGTCGTATTTGGATTTTGTACTATTTGTTCGTACAGGTGAAAGGAATCATTATGTTATAAATATGACCGCAATATTGACGAATATCAATAGAACTCTTACTACGACAACAGTGATAAAGGGAGTTTAAGGCCCTCTCTTTTTTTCCCGATTCTATATTTTGGATTTTTTTTCACGCTTTCTAATTTTCTAAACAGTGTCTTCTTTAAACAGCATTCTAACTTTTTAGAAGTCAATTCATTCGTTTATACCCTCAAATAGCTATCACATAAATTATATAATTCATCAATTTCAGCTATCCTAAACCTTAAGTACTACTCCCTCCGTTTCACAATGTAAGTCATTCTAGCATTTCCCACATTCATATTGATGTTAATGAATCTAGACATATATATCTATCTAGATTCATTAACATCAATAGCCTAACATAAGAATACTAATAACACTGATATATTTATTTTATTTTTTCAAATAATATGTTTTCATATGGAACATACCGCTTATCCATTTTCATAAGAAAGAACTTAGCTGTCCAAGCCACAAACACGGCCGAAGAAAGGGACTTTAATAATTAGTCCCCTACTTACATTGTGAAACAGAGGAAGTACATATTTTTTTCATGCGAGCCATGGTGATCAGTAAATTGGTGATCAACGGATCATCAAAGTCGTAAGATGAATATATAAGAGTTGCTCTGAACAATTGTAAATATGTGTCAAAATTTGCTATTAATTAGACATCTAATGGCTTGCTAGCCACAAAATTAATTTCTCTCAACATGTATATAAACATGGACAAAGCTGGAACAAATATTACCATATGTCCCATACAAATATATTGCGCAGTTAATATTCTAATTAGTCATTTAAAATTCCTTAAAATACTCTCAAGCTGCCACGTGGTGCTATAATAAATTAAGGCAAATATTAGAAATTCTAAGAAAAAAATCAAAATATCTATTATTCGATTTTCACTTAAATCGATAGGTCCAATATTATAAACTGTTAGATTAAATTGATCTTAAAATAAACTAAATACTACGAGGTCCCACCTCGACATAGGTACGCACCTACGTGCGCGGGTAGGTACGCCTCCCCTCCCTTTTTTCATTTTTCTCTTTCTTCTTTTTTCCCATGCATATGATTCCCTCCCTTTATTACTATATCATGCGCCTTCATGAGACGATTTAATCAAAATAATTTTGAGTATCTTGCACTCGCATTTTTAATTTTGTGACCATACTACACGGTATGTATATACGAACTGTATGATAATTAACTAGCAATAGTTTCTTATTTACTCGAGAAAAAAAAACATGATTCAAAAGTCGCAAGTACTTAATCCATCTTCTACTCAAAAGTTTGTGAATGGTTTTCTAATATACCTTAAGAAAAATAGAACCCTTAAATTATTATAAAATAATATTATCCAAACTTTAGTTTGCCCTGAATCTATGAGACAAAATTTCTGAACAAACAATAATCTTACCTTTCAACAATATAAGTGCCCGCGCATACGCGCGGGCCACCTTACTAGTTGAGGTAAAAGTAAAGTAGCAAATAATGTTAGATTCAGAGTTCAATCCATGATCTGGAAAACCAAAATCTTCCATAATTAAATCCATATCAATATATATAGCTGCATTTCATCATAGGAAAAAAAAATAGAAAGAAGGACCAGGCCAGAAATCTGAAGCTCCGAACTTGTTCTTAGATATGAAGATGTAACTTCAACAGCTTAAAAATTACACATCGGAGTATAAAGATAGTAGCCACTATACAAACTATTGCAATAATATGTCACTGTGAAAAAAAAACTTGACCATCTGTTCGTATGTGCGGGGGTGCAAGCCAATGGACGAAAATCTTTACTAACCATTATAGATTGAAATCAGAATTAAGTAGTTGCTATGCCAAGGTGAGGCCTCAACAATTTTTGAAAAGGAAAAATTACGTGATGATGCATATGCAAAGAAATCAAATCATGGAAAAGAGTAAATTATTACATTGGTAGTACACAAACTTATCAGGTGGATACACTTTAGTACACGAACTTATAAAACGCTCGTTTTAATACATGAACTTGTCTGATGCGTGCAAAACAATGCTACAATAACAGGTCATAGCCAATTTTACTATTAGACGTTTTACTAAGTTAGATGTTGATTAGGGTACAACGCGCACACGTGAGGTGGGCATGAGATATGCTATCTTTGTAAACTTGATTTGTATTTTATTTTTCTTTGTTTTACCCCTTGCATCATTTCTCTTTTTTTATGTCTTTCTTCATGCAATCTTTAGGTCATATTAAACTTTTTTTATTGAATCATGCATGGCGAGGACACCGAAGCCATTGATTAATTCCAGGGCTTTATACGCGGACATGAATCATGCATGGCGAGGAGACACCAGCAAGTGCTCTTCTCTGGAGCAAGTTGAGATTAGGAAAACTAGTAGGGACCAGCGTGTTGCCACTTGCCACTGGCTGAATGCCACTGTGTGAAACAAATTTACATCAACTGGAGTTTTTGTCATGGACTATACATCCAAGGATTTGGCATGAAAATATTTCAAGACCATCTGGCTGATACCATGGCACAGATGTATATAGCCTAACATGGAATGTTGGTTGTAGATGTGAATCATTTTCTGATATATTCAAACAATGAACAGTAGGCACTGAAGTTAATATGGTAATGGAAAGTTTTCTGTGAAATCTAAAATGTCAAATGGGGCAGAAATGTTGTATAATATAGGCTAATCCTGAAATGCAAAATCACACCACAATAACAGTAAGAATTTGAGTAGGGCTACATTGTTATTTAGCCTCATAAATGAACGAAACGAGTATGACTGTCATATGGTTCATTTGCAATCCACACCTAGACATGACTATTGTGTCATCATATATCACATCAAAGTCTACTTTGCATTCTTCCGATCAGCAAAATGGCATTTGAGCTAGCCTGATGTACATGATAGAAAGCATAGCCGACAACACAGCACCAGAGAATGCACCATAATATAGGGAAAAAGTTAAAAATAACAGGGCAGCTGTTAAGGTCATGTAAATATAGATAAGATTGACCAGTACTTCACACGGTAATAAGACAGTATGAAAAGAAATAATACCACGTGTTGCCACATGCATGCTAAAAATCAAATGAGAAGTTATTAGAATCTTCTGCTAATCAATAGAATATTTGTTATGAATATAATGAAAAAATGTAAAAATTGTGGCACACATTCATATATACCTGACTTAATTGTTTAATACAAACAGAACACGCTAGTTTAAAATGCCATCTGAAATGTATCTCAGGGAAAAATGTGAAACAATATACCTCAATGAGGTAAATAAAGTAGAAATTACATATTTGAAATGGGCATAACTGACATAATACAGCTACTGAAATGGTGGGAATCATTTCCTCCATTAGCTACTTGAAAGAGGCTAACAGAGCATGAATACTCAATTCACATCATATCACACTGCAAGAGGCATTGGCAACACATGGATGAACAAATTCTTCGTGCTCGGCAGCACCAAACAGAAATAATCTCTTCATGCAAGCAGGAGCAAGCTTTAAAAACGGATTGGTAAGCACAAATAGTAGAGACCCGAAGACTATCAAACTACAATTTAAGGAAGAGATTACCTGATAGCATATGATAGTAGTATAATAACGCCGGTTGTTCCATTACCAATGTAACTCAGAAGCTGTACTGGATGGTCTTTGCAAAAATTAAGCTCAATTATGCAGTTATGTTGTTATACATCAATTTGTGTATTATTCAGCAAATGAAATGCAAGATGCATGACGACGATATACATAATTAAACTTAATCATAGAATCATTGTCATAAGATTAAAAATCAAGCAGAATATCAATAGACTATATGGCTCTAGGGAACTTGAACGGAGCTGGCAGTTATTTTTTCTTACATATGCAAGCAGTGTAAGTAGCATTTTAAACTTGATGGTGTAAACATACATGCCTAAATATTTTTTTGTATAAAAAGAATTAGTAAGAATAGCTAATCAGGTTGTACTGGTTGAAAAAGATTTAAAACAATAACATGAGCATCTGTAATGTAGAAACCTGTAAAGGGTGAAGGAGATGTAACGATGTACAATACCTTTGATGGCTTTGATAATAATAACTGCATGCAGCACTCACCAAAAATACGGTCTAACATTGTTAATGTTATGATAGGATGCTCTGCATAGAGATGAATTGGAGAACACTTCTCAACAACATATGGACTTAGAATACAAGAATATGTGATTTAAATACAACAACTCTGATGGGGTGACATACATATAGTTCTTATGTAGCTAAAAATAGGGGAGCAATGTAGGTAAGTTAAAAATGCTAGGCAACTGCTACTATATGGACTGATAGAGAGGATTTTGCCGTTGAACTCATAAATCCCTTCCCTAAGAAATGTGCCATCACTGCCCATATACTTTTTGCTTGTCTGATGCACCCTGCAGACACTTTTATGATCATATATAGACATAAAACACTAATGAATTACCTTCAGTCACTTATTGATTTTACTTTGGGATATCGGCCAATCACTGCAAAAATCATTTACTCAATCAAGTTAATTAACATGTTAAGCAAGACAGAATGTGTATCTACATCCAAGTGGTGTATGTGTATTTGCAGGGAAAGGTAGTAATCAGCAAACATGACATACATACGTGATCCTTTCGTTTGTGCTTCCAAAAATATCTGCAGGCCTGCACATAAAAAAAATGTTGTGAATCAACGGAATATGGCCTTCTAACGGTGAAATTTCAGAAGCTTAATGCAGGTAAAGCATTTGTAACCTCATATGTTCAGACCTGAATGACCATGCACTACATACAGAAAAATCAAGCAGAGGCTGCCGGGTTTGATATGAAAGAGAGCAGTGAGACAGAGGACTGTTAAACAGAAGTGAGCAATCAATTTGAGGATTCGTATCAGCAGGAGGAGATTTAGCTACTGCCACACCCACGTCGAGCTTCACCTTCTGATTACCGCGTGCTTGTGGGGGCTCGATGCGGGCACAGATCTTGCAAGAACCAAAGTCTGCGTGGGATGGGGAAGGAGACGGAAATGACTCGCAAGAAGTCGATGGGAAGACAGCGACGGTAACCACTGGCTCCGCACGGCGGCGGCGACGGCTGGCTCCGCGAGCTTGAGAAGAAGGCGGCGGCTCCGGCTTCACGAGCTCGAGGGGAAGACGGTGGCCGTGGCGGCGGCGGCGGCTCCTCGTGGGAAGAGGAGAGGGATTAGGGTTCGAGAGTAGCTTCTGGCTACTGGGGGAGGATGGGGGCACGAACGTCTCTGATCGGATGAGCCCGCCGAATCGGACGGTGTACATGTAACCAGCTACTGTCACCATGTAGATCGGCAGCTACTGTTACCCCTGTTCTTTTGTTATACAGATGACGATGATGAAGATAGGGGTAAGTAAAACAAGAAAGTTATCGGTGCATGATTAGTTAAGTTTTAATTATTATAAATTTAAAATAATATGCTTAAATCCAAGTTTGAAGGGCTAGTGCAGTTGCTGTCTACATGTTGAAAACACTGTCACACATTCTAAATTAAATGGGTGAATAGCCAAAGTGGTCCTTCAAATTTCATCTAAGGCTCAGTTTAGTTCTTGATGTTTCAATCTATCCATATTAGTTCTTCAAGTTTTCATTTTAGTTCAAACTTATCCTTAAACCAACAACTCTCTTGATAAATGATACTTATACCCCCATCATTCACATATATAAGAGAAAAAAATTTATGCTTGATTTTTTTATTGATAATGTATAGTAAATTATGTAAAACGAAAATAAATTATGTACTTCTATACGATAGAAATTGCTTAAGTTTTATGTGTACATGTTGAAATAATGGGAAGTATATCTGCAATATTGTTTATTCATCTTGGTTTTCTCCTTTTTAGTATATAGTTGTATATAAATTAAGGGCAAAAGGGACATTTTCTAATAGAAATATTGACTAAAAATAGCCATATGGCATATTATATGGGCCCAAGGATGATGTCAAGCCAAAACAAATATTTAGAGGAGTTATGTGGACAAAATAAAATGTAAAGGACCAAATTGAACTTTCGGTAAAACTTGAGTGACTAAATTAGCTATTCACCCAAATTAAAATTTACTAGTTGGTTTATTTAGTCATAAACTCGTGAAACAAGTTTGGCCTCGTCTCCACGTTTTACTAGTTGTCTGGGCAATCGTCTTGCATAGCGCGAACATGACCTTTTCTTGAGACACATTAGATAAGCATGGCTTCGTATACACACACATTTATCCTGCAAACACATACACACACCTTATTCATATTTCTATGAGCACCTTCGAATGTTGGGCTGATATGTCTTCAGCTCCATTATTTGAGAGAAAATCCCCTATGTACCCATGAAAGTTCACCTAATTCCTTCTATACCCCTGAATTTTGCTCAATCCTTTACATACTTCTAAATTTTAGTTTGAATCCCTTCCATGCCCTTTCTGCTAGTTGACCGTTAAATTCTTTTGAAAAAGTTTATTTTGCCCTTTGCTATGAAGAAACATAATAAATTAATGAAGTATATTGTTGGAATGTAAAAATTTATTGGATGAGACTATTATATTTATGAGTATTTGATGCACCATATTATTTGTGACAAATTTACTTTTACATATGATATAAAAAGTTGATAGTTATTTATTAGTTATTAAAAGTTCTTTTATGTGGCATGTGTGTTTTCATAGTAATACAACAGATTTGTTTATTACTTCAGAACACATATGCTAAAAAAATATTTTAATAACTAATAAATAAGTATTAATTTTTATGTCATATCTAAAAGTATATTTATCGCAAATAATATGGTGCATAACTATCTTATAAACATAATAGTCGTCTCATATAACAAATTTCTATGCTCCAACAATATACTCTATTAATTTATATGCTTCTTTATACCAAAGGGCAAAATGGATTTTATCATAGGGTATGTAAGGGATTGAGCAAAATTCAGGGGTACAGAAGGGATTAGGTGAACTTTCAGGGGTACACAGGGGATTTTCTCTTTGCTCAATCTTCAGGTTATCGACTGCATCTAAAATTTAAATTTTAAAACTTATTTTTAAGTTGATTTTAGAGGTTTTTTTATCGTAGTCTCGTTAAGAACACAGACATAAAAGTTTCACGCACGAATTATTTTTTGCCACTAGTAAGAGCTACAAATTATAATTAGTTGTATGTGAAATGATGGGTTGTCGACGGTTATGTCATCCATCAATACCTCGTTATCGATGGGTACATCACCTACCATTAAAAAATAATTAATTAAAAATCCTAAAATATAATGCCACTTCTAAAAAATACTAATGAAAAAACAAACTCTAGTAATCTTGTCCAATCAACCACTAGGTCCAACTCAACAAGATAACGAGCCCTTTGTTAATCTTTCTAGTATAGCTTATTCTTCTCTATCACGGTAATAACTATATTTTGCTAGCTAGGCGCCCTATGGTAAAGACTGGAAATCTAATCTATTTTCGTCATCTTAAGAAATTTATAACCGTACGGTGCAGCATGGCACATCCAAATATTCTCACTCTTATATCATGGGCTACAGTGGCGACGCTGTCAAGTCCGAACAATTATTAGTGTTTTCTGATGATTGACTAATTTTTTTAAGGGTCGATGGTTACCGATAGGGAAGATGGTAGCGGCGGAGCTCAGGCGACCGCCTGACCTGATCATCGGGACTTCGGGAGGTGGCTCCGCTACTAATGGGTTATATCAACATGTTTTCAGCAAAGATGGGCCAAAACAATTGATGATGATAATCTTTTGAAAGCAACCTACTTGATAATTCAGCATCATAACAACGGCCATGCCTTGAGTTTTGTGGGGGGAATAATCATTTGGTATATGCTAAAACCTTTTAGTGTGAGCAACGGATCGAGATTACCTGCCGTATAGTAAGGTGGACTGCAATTTGGTTGTGACGTGGCACCTATCGTTCATCAGATGAAGCGATGGTTGTTAATGGATGTGACTACTTCACTTATACTTACTCCGCTTTATAATTGCTTCACTTTTTTTCTAGTCAATTTTTTTTAAGTTTGACTAAATTTATAGAAAAATATAGTAATATTATCAACTTAAAATAAACATATTATCAAAATATATTCGCTGTTAGATTTAATAAAACTAATTTGATGTTTTTATATGTTGCTATTTTTTAAAAAAATTTAGTTAAACTAACAAAGTTTGACTAGGAAAAATGTTAAGCGACCTGTAGTATGAACGGAGGAAATAGTCACTGTAGTAATTGCACTTGATCTTGATTCATAATTTCATACTACTGGTGTAGTGCTAGGGAGAATTAACCGTAGTTATGATGCCAGTGACATACGATGTTTCAATGATGCTTTCCGCTTGAATTTAAAATTGACGGAATTAAAGTTTGAGATAATGTACAGAGCTATCATCGTTTCCTGTTATTATTTGTGGGACCCTTGTCTAAGCCGTGTCTTTTGTTTTATTTAAGGTACTTTATGAAAATCCTAAATTTTCCATTCTTCCTATTTCCAAAGGGTGATTGGAATTATTCGTTGGCCTAAAACTGCATACATATCTGTTGACGCGAAAAACACACATCGACCTGAGAGATCTGCTTAACTCCAGTGCAGGTCTAAAGGTTGGTGAGATGCGGGCGTGCCAGCCAGTTTGATCCTACAACTGACAATACATGTAAACAGTAGATCAAATAGCTGATCGGCTGATAAGCCGATGAAGTAATTTCAGTCGATGCCGATCGGCTGACAAACCGAAGGAATAATTCCAGCCGATGCCGATATCAGCCGTAGCAATAGGGTTTCGAGCTATCGGCTATATGTCCGATGTATATTCTGACACTTGATGTAAATACCAATATAAAGGCAATCGGTTGATGATGATGTAATAAAAAAATAATATAATCAAGTAGAAACCAATCGGTTAATAATGATATGATAAATAAGCATCGATCCGAAGGTTAAAGCATATATCGGCTGGAGGTCCGATGTCGTTAAATCGACAAGATTAGATAAACAGTAAAATCTTTGTTGCGATCGGCTAAATCTAATACGTATGCAATCCTTGTAAGCCGATGCAACGTCCAGATAACTCATCGGCTGAAACCCCGATGAAACCCTTATTGGCAATCAAGAAGCAGGTTAGAGATTATGGTTCTAAGCACGACTTAGTAGATCAAACTTAACTGATGTAGCACTAAGTATGAAAAGAAACATAATATCTATACAATCAAGTCCTTGACTAAGTTTTCAGGGTGGTAGATGTCTAAGCTAATCTAATCTAGCAACACGATTTAGCCGATATCGGTAGAAACCCTAAAACGAGAAGCAACCGATAGAGCTAAATTGATATGCTAAGACTAAATTAACAGAGACATATGATAAATAGGTAGGCAAATATATCAGCCGAACCAGAGCAATTCAAGAGGTCGAATATACTGATGCAGCCTTGAACGACGCCAATGAAGCCAATACAATTACCAGGGCCGGTGGAACGTAGGACTTACCCCTTCGCCGGAGATCGAACTGAACCGATGCAGCCCCGCGTCAGGTGCCAAGTTCCGCCAGATGATAAGTAAAAACCTCGGTAAAGAGGGTGGCGATATGCCAAGAATAGTTGTATTGATATGTGAGATAGTTTACAATGACCCCGGGTGTACATATTTATACCCATAGGGGATACTAGTCCTTGTAGGACAAGAAAGAAACATTATTTAAAGATAAACGGAAAACCCAAAGTCCTTATAGGACACTAAGCACATTTTCCTAAAGATAAAAGGAAACTTAACAAAATACTCCTAATTAATAGATAACTTGCCATGCCGCATTCTCATTGAACTCGGTCACTTCTAGATAAACTTCATTTAATAGATTAATTTCCTTAACCGAATATAGCAGGAATCCGACTATTGGCGATGTGATAATTCTCTTAGGGGCTTACCAAATTTCACTGTTAACAATATCGAATCTTGAGTCAATGGTTATATAACTTTTCGTCATTTTTGGATGGAGATTCACAACTAGAATTCAATAATTTTGTGACCTTTTTATGTTGTGGGTGTCTTTAGTAGTTGGTGTGCTCATGTTTCTTTAGGCATGTGTGTTTATGTCTAGTTGAATTTGTGTAACAATTGGTAGTAACTCTTTGAGCAAAGGCCGAGATTCTATTCTATAATCTAAAAAAATATGTGTAAACTGGCATTAGCATGAAAAATGTACAGATTTGAAGTATTGGATGCTAAGAGCATCTTGAGGAGAGTTGCTAAATGGCTCTCCAAGCTAAAACTTGGCGATTTTGTCCAAATCTAGCCTCCAAATGTCTTTCTAACTGGCTTGCTAAGCTATCTGCCTTACCCAAATTGCCGTGCTCAATGGCTAAATTTGGCCATGCTATTCAGCTGGCCATTTGTGGGCCCCACCCTGTCTCTCTCGCTTCTCTCTCTCCCGCACCACCGTGAGCACAACGTCGTCGGTGCCAGCTCCACATCCACGCGCAACGTCACCGCGGCCCCTCCCCCTCCACGAGAAGCTGTGCCGCTAAAAGGAGCATCGTCGTCACCCCCTGCCTATGAGCAGTTCTGCCGCCGCTTCGGCCGACATCCGATGTGGCCATCGCCCCCGCCTGTGAGCAGTGACATCGGCGCTCCGTTCAACATCCACTTTGGCCGACACCATCATTGTTCGGAGTTCTCCCATACGGTGCACCCACCGCCTCTCCGTTCGTGGGGTTGCCACCTCTCAGTCCGCGGGATGTCGCCTATTCATGCCGCCGGAGCATGGACACCGCCTCCCGCCTGTTGGGTCGCCGATCACTGCCCCTTGTTGCTTGGTTGCTGCCGTCATCTCCCCGAGCCCGCCATCGCACTCCGCAGCGGCCGATGGCAGTGCCATCGACAGGGCCGAGGTCCACGGGCAGCAGACCTTCTTCCCCTGCCTCGTGGCCTCTTCGCTTCCGCGCACGCACGCACACACAACGGCAAACGGGGATGGAGCCCGAGCAGCGGCAGCGCGCGCTGCCCCTTCCTTGCAGCAGCAGCGTCACTGCGCCCTTCCCTGTTGTTTATGCACCCTTGTCTGGAGCGGGAGAAGAGGGAGAGGAGAGGGGGAGAAAGAAGCGGACGAAGGATAATAGAGACTGACATATGGGTTCTAGTGTCATAGACTCGAAATGTAGAGGGTAGATAGAGAGACTGTTGGAGTTTGACTTATCAAATCAGTTGGAGATGCTCTATGGTAGGCGATGAGCTCGGCAGCATCCGATGGAGCGTTCGTGGCGATGGACGGGGAACTCGACGACAGCAGCGGCTTCTTCCTAATGATGGCGATGTCTTCGAGTCCCTTAACAGGTATACTTTTTTGTTCGCTCATCTCTCTCTCTCTCTCTCTCTCTCCATGTACCACACTTACATATTTGAAACCACCCCATTCTCTTTGTTTGGTTTAAATCCAACATGTAGGGTTGATACACTGTTCATAGGGTGCATTAGGCATAGCCTAAGAGCATCACCAACCGTACTTGTACATGTTACTCCATCCGTCCCAAAATATAACAACTTTTAGCTCTCAGGATTTGTCCTAAATTATAACAACTTCTCCACTAACATTATCTTCCCAATCAATCACAACCCTCCACCATTCACTTTTCTCGCCTACCTTCACTACTTATTTAATCACAACCCTTCACCACTCACTTTTACCTACTTTCTTAATAACCGTGTCAAACCCTAAAACTTCTTATATTATGGGACGGAGGGAGTACCAATATGGGATTTTGGGGATTTTTATTAAAAAAAAATCAATCCAACGAATTCTCTACCCCCATGCCCCAATCCATGGATTCCCAATCCTGTGATTTTCGTTCTCCACATTTAGAAGAATTAGGTTTGGCTCCCAATCTCAGCATCCAGGTCATTGGTGAGCAGGAGGCCGAGCGCTGAGGGCTATTAGCAACGTGTGATCTTGTGGGAGGGAGGGACAAGCGTTGATTTCTGCTAGAAGTTTACTTGTAGGTCCATCTTTTAGTTTTAAGAATTTAATTTTATTCAATCATAAAAACTTTTAATGCATCAAGTTCTGTTTAAAATTCCATAACTAAAATTTTGGGAATAAAATTTTAAAATGTTGTTGGTGAATGGTGATGCTCTAAGGCTGCGTTCGTTCCAGATACATTGAGTTAGAAAGTACATTGTTTTCCGCGCGCACGCTTCCCAAACTACTAAACGGTGCGTTTTTTTAAAAAAAAATTTATAGAAAAGTTGTTTTAAAAAATCATATTAATCCATTTTTAAAATTTATAGTAGTTTATACTTAATTAATCATACGCTAATGGATTACCTCATTTTACGTATACTCCCAATCTTCTCAGTCTCCTATCCCCAAACACACCATAAAAATACAACACCCGAGTAGTCAAAAAGAACCATGGAGTTTTGCATTATTCCTTCACCTTTTTTCGAGCCTCGAGAAAGTAAGATGGCGCCATCCTCAGTGGGTCCCATGTAACGGCCACTTCTCCACTGTATGCCCACTGTCTTCCGGGCCCACTCCCTGACCCCACATCTTGGTAGGATGATAGGATGCCAGTCCAGTGGGCCCACTTACAGCCATGTCCCACTCGCGTATCCCCCACATGTCAGTCACCCTTCGTAGCAAGACGGGACAACAGTGGTTGCGCCACCAAATTTCGCACCCATGACATCCGTCTCACCACACTGACATCCGGGTCCCACTTCTGCAGGACCCACATGGCATCGACATGGTCTCTCCCGACGCATGTGCACGCAGGGCTCCGCGAGAAACGGCGCACGTCCCACTGTCAGGTGGGCCCGCCTCGTCACGAGGCGGAGCGGGGTGGCAGTTGTGTAAAATCCTTCGCGGCCCCTCATGGAGTCACTGACAAGTAGGCCCCACGAAACTGCGTCCCCAATAAAACCCACGCGCCCCACGCCTCGCGTACCAAACGCCACACACGACGCCGTAACCGCCACTTTGGATTCCCCACTATGGACGCCGGCGGCGGAGGCCACGGCGGCGCCATGGCGGTGTCGGCGGCGGCGGCGGGGATGGACGAGGCGGACGCCGCCTTCTTCTCCCGCCGCGGGAACCGGTGCTGCTGCTTCTGGGGGCCGTGGGCGTCGTCGTCGTACTCCCGCGCCGGTGGCCCTGCGGCGGCGGCGGAGGAGGAGTGGTGGCACCGCGTCGGGGGAGGGGGAGGGGAGAGGCGGCGGTGGTGGCGGCGCGGGGTGGACGCGCTGATGAAGGTGCGGGAGTGGTCGGAGCTGGTGGCTGGGCCGCGGTGGAAGACCTTCATCCGGCGGTTCAGGCGCAGCCCACGGCACCACCACCACGGCGGAGGAGGCGGAGGCGGTGGCGGCGGGAGGAAGCTCAACTACGACCCGCTCAGCTACGCGCTCAATTTCGACGAGGGCCACGGCGGCGCGTGCAGCCCGGAGGGCGACTACGCCGGCTACCGCGACTTCTCCACCCGCTTCGTCGCGCCTCCGCCGCCCGCCGCCGCCTCCGCCAAATCCTCCATGGACTTCGGCGGCCGCGACGCGCCGCCGCTGTTCCACCACCCGCCGCCGCAGCAGCCACACCCTCACCCTCACCCGCCGTCTCCCTCCGCCGCGCGGGGCTGACGTCGCCGGCGCACCGACCGAATCTTTTTGTTATTGCTGGGCGGCGGAGGCGATAAGGGTGGACGTCATTTTCTCTCATTTGCTGCTGGTCGATGGTGTCCATAGAAGATGCGCTTGTTTTTGTTTGTATTTTTTTTGTTGCCTTTTTAAAATTTTGTTCACTGTAAATAAAAAAATAGAACTCTATCTATATATATGTATGGATCAAATCTGTTACAACAGCCACAGAATTTCTGAACTTGTTCTTGCAAGCAAAAGGTGATACCAAATATCAAAAAAAAAAAGAGGAGATGATGACAACGGAATGCATAGATATTTCTACTGTATTTATCTTCACTTTGACCACCTTTAGAACGGATGAAACTTATGGAAATTTTGGGTAATTCTCATGAAAAATCTGTAAGTTCTTGAGTCCAAAGAAACTCTTGGTTCATTTTTAAGATTCAGGTATAATTTAATTAGCTATGATATTTGAAGGTGTTCCGTCGGTGGGTATATAGCTGTTTGGATTGAATGGCCATGATACCCGTGAAAGGTTGATCTCGACGTTGCCGGCACGCTTAGTGCAATCACATCTCTGAAATCCGCATATCCCCCGCATCTTTGATTAAGAATCCAAGAGGGCTTTGGCGCTTAATGATCTGATGAGGGAGGCTAGATTGGGATTCAGGTTTTGGACGATGACAGGTCAGTCTCGGAGTCCAACTCCTTGCCAACATTTACCCTGCCTGTTCGGCAGTCGGGTTGTGAGGGTTGTCTGCTCTCATCTCTGATGGTCCGAATTGAGAACGGTGATGTTTGCATTCGTTATTACTGGATGATTTGATGAATGTATCTCATCGAATTTGTCTGGTAATGTAAAATATTGAGAAATCTTTTTAAAAAAATTATATTTTTTTTCATTGGTTTTATAAGAATGTGCAGGTTTAGAAAGAATTGGTAAAATTATACCGTCATCCCGGAGTAAGGATGCAAACTTGCTGCCGCACGCGCGAGTTCGCCTGGATGGGCTGCGAACTCACTGCCGAATGATGCTAAATAAAGAAGTAATGGACAATTGATTAATTGCTAATAGCACTAATTAATTAATTAATTGATTAAAACGACCATCACACGGCCACCTAGGGGTGGCAACGGGACGGGGTGGGGCCAGGTTGGTCAGGAGCGCCCCCACTTCCCGCATTCTCCCTCTAGCGCTAGCCTCGCAAAGCCAACTAGGTTGAAAACCTCGCTGGATTTTTTACATTTTGGTTCTTTTAAAAAACTTGTTTCGCAAATAGACCCCTGAAAAAACTTATCCTAGAAATAGTCCTTTTGGGGGCGCCAGCCTCTCTGGCGCCGTCCTCCTGCCATCGTGGCGCACGCGAACCAACGTGGCAGGAGGAGGGCGCCAGAGGGCGCCAGCATGGCTGGCGCTGCCGCCTCCATTCCTGTTTCTCTGTATGGAGTTGCAACAGTGTCATTTTTATTTTATTTTTTCGGATGTTTTTTCACACTCAGGATTACGATACAACCAACCACAAAAAAAATTTAAACTCGAACTACCACTTAGCTAAGTCTGAAAATATCTAGCATACCACTTAGTCTATTTTGCACCTTCACTAAAATTAGACCATAACTCCTTTAGTAAAACCCTTTGATCAGCATGTTAAACATAATGCACTCTACCATTATATGAAATTACTTAATCTAATTCAAAATATAACCACATGAAATGACATATATAAGTTAAACAATACATAAAGATGCAATTTTTTTATTTTTATTTTATTTTTTTGATATTTTTTCACACTTAGGAGAACATAGGAACCAACCGTATAAAAAATAAACTCAAACGGACAAAATATGTGACATGTAGAATTTTCCAAAACTCTACCGAAACGGACAAAATATGTCATCTATTAAAATAGGCATAACTTTCTCATACGGACTCGGAATCAGGCAAATAATATATGCACGGACATCTACAGAAAAAGTTACATCCGATTCTCCCCCGCTTTGCCGGGTTCGGCGATATTAAAACCTCCAAATTCCGCTTGCAAGATTGTGTTTTCGAGGAGATAAGTTTTTCGGTGGAGCTTTGGAAAATTCCACATGCCACATATTTCGTCCGTTTGAGTTTATTTTTTACATGGTTGGTTCCTATGAGTTCCTAAGTGTGAAAAAAATATCAAAAAAATAAAGTTGCACATCTCTCTCCTCTGCACTAGTTCGGAGAGAGAGGAGAGGAGAGAAAAAATTCTACATGTCACATATTACGTCCATTTGAGTTCAATTTTTCTATGGTTGGTTCTTGTGTGTCCCTAAGCGTGAAAAAAATATCAAACAAATAAAACAAAAATAAAAAATTTCGGGGGGGGGGGGGCGCCAGCCACTCTGGCGCACTCCCCCTAGCCACCTCAGCATCGCCCCGCCACGTCGGCAGGGGGATGGCGCCAAAGAGGCTGGCGCTGTCCTGTTGAACGACGGCGCCAGTCACTCTGGCGTCCCAAAAAGGACTATTTTTGGGATAAGTTTTTTTTAGGAGTCTATTTACGAAATAAATTTTTTAAAAGGACCAAAATGTAAAAAATCCAGAAAAACCTCACCTGTCTCCGCTCCCGCATGGGACCTAGTGAGTGAGTGGAGCTCCGCACCACCCGACGATGAGGACGGTCGAAGGCAGAGAGTGGCGAGGACGCGTGGACTTCGGCGGGACATTGTCTGTAGGGCATCGGCCGTTAGCCGTCGCCAGTCAGCTAGGAGTAACGACGAGGGCTAGGGACGGCGAGCTCCGACAGAGCAGCATGCTACGAGCACGCCGGCCACCGGCTTGGGCAGCAACGAGGCAAGGAAGGTCGACAACTTGGGACAGCGAGGAGGGTCGACAACACGGTGGTTGGGGTTGGCAGCGCACCGGCGCCGTCGAGAATGGGGGTGATGGCGTGCCACGCTGCACCAAGTGCCTGACTCGCCTGTTGCATGGAGCAGCTTGGGCAGACGGCTAAATCACTGCCTCGCTACGAGCTGGAGAAAGGGCGGCGACAGGAAGGAAGGAAACGATAGGGGACAAATTAGGGTTGAGCTTTTATAGTCATCTAACTAAATGGGCCTTGAAATTGGCTACTTATGACGTGTATAAGTGACACCTCATGCCCCCATGGGTTACCCACGGGTCAATCCCATTCCCCACCCCATCCCCTTAATTTTGTGGGGGCGCCACCCCGCTCACCCGCCGGTGGGAATTTCCACCTGGCCCGTTGGGTCGGGAACTCGGCCCCAACAGGAATATGGCCACCCCTACGACCGCCGCACACGAGTTTGCACCCGCACATTTTTCTCCGCGCAAACTCGTGATGAGTTCACGCACTCACCATACGAACTCGCTATAAATTCGCACCCCCTCCCCTCCCTCGACGATAATGGTATGCTTCAGCCAATTCTTTCTAAACGTGCATTTCCTGTAAAAACCGATGAAAACAAGATATATTTTCAAAAATAAAATAATTCAAATATTATAGGTGCTCCTTAGCAAGGCCTTTTCTTGACATGGTATAAATGCCACGCTCAATACACACAGGCGCACACTCGCCCCTGTAATACACATAGACAAACACATATTGAGATAAACAAAGTTAATACAGACATCTTGATATCGTTAAGTACATTGTGAACCACTAATTAAATAATTACTTGTAAATGCGAGAAGACTAGTTTAACTAAGGAGTATTTGTATGTTCCTCTCAAACGTAAGTTGCATTTTGAGTTAGAATTTTAAATGAAGTTACCTTTGAACATAACAACACACGAAATTATTTTAGAATTTTCTTTTATGATCATCTGCATAGAAATACCACGATATAAGAAAGGGGAGGACAACATCTGTTTATTATTATTTTTCTATAAACAACATTTTAGGAGAGTAGGAGACCGATAGCCCCATTTACTTTTTGAGCTGCTCCGTAAAGGGGCCGAAGAAAGAGAAGCCAGAGTATCAGTTAATAATTAATTGCTGTACTAACTATATTGTCGCTCCTAATGGTAAGGTTAAGATTAGTACTGATAAAATAATCAAGAACATCGATAGGCCGATACAATTTCAACATGGATTTGACAATGAACAAATCAGAGTATCAGTTAATACTTAATAGGCACCATAAAAATATGAAAGAAACTTAAAAATAGCCATCTTATCAGTTGCACCTAATTTGATGAATTCTTGGTGCATGGGACCAGCCAATCAGCCAAACTTTGCTGGACATACAATTCGACGGCGAGTGCTGCAGCAAAAATTTTCATCAGCTTAAACAATCTGATCATTGTGTGTTAATGCCAGCCAAAACCTACAATGTCCAAAGTAATTGCCACTTGTATTCATAACAACAGTGTCATGTAAAGTTGATGTTGACTCTCTGACAACAGTGCGATGAATCAATGAAAGCCAACGAGACAGAAAAAAAAAACCGGACCACTTACCTGATCTTGACATGAATATTCAATCGCAAGGCTCCAGCAGTCCATCTTGTCCGTTCCAATCACGCCCGAAACTGGCCTTAGGACACGAACAGGTGCATGTGAGAAAAACCAAAGTAGGTAGTCCTCAGGGCCTCAAGGTAGCGTCCAACAATTTTCACATAGAGAACAGTATATCGTACCAACTCAGCGTCGTCTGATCTTCACCGGTAGGAACTGAAGATTGTTGACCCTGAGTCTGAGTGAGACTTGGACACTGCTTGAAATAAAAAGAACCTCTGTGGTTTGTCCTGAATCTGGAAATGGAGATCTGAAGAATCACAAAAACAACTGTTTCAGATGTCAGAACAAACAATTACTATTTCAGATCTGGTTGTTAACAATAATGAGTTGGCTAGCTCAGCATTAGTTAATGGCTGAAATAGCTGTATATTTGTCTACCTGGTATAGTAAGAATTTGTAAGCATGTATGCAACTATATGTCAGATCTCAATGCAAACTGCTTAACTTCAGTACGCTACCTGTTTAATTAGTGGAGGCATGAGAGTATGGCACTTCTCATTTGCTTTATGATTAAAAATAACAAAAGGATGAAGGAACACAAAATATGACACCGAATTCCACTTCACTAAGCACCTTTATATTTTTTTTCTTCTCTTATCAGGATACTGCACCGTGACAACTCTAGGATCCACTCAGCTTGGTCACCATACCCACCAGGCCACCTACACAAGGTGCAATAAGCAGAGCATAATTCTCAGTTAGTTATCAACTCTTACAGGAATGACACCTTTAAGCAGAGTCTGCCAACAAAGGTAGGACACACCAAAGGCAAAAGTGCCACCTCCTGTTCACCAACTTTTCAGTTATCATAACAACAATTTGGGCCTACGTTGTACCTTACATTTGACAGAGAAGAAATAAGATTAATAGAAGTTGCAAAACTATGAAAGAGAGGAATGGAAACTAGTGTTATCATAATCTGAATTTTCACGAAATCTAGCTGCACAGTCTTTTGCTTTCTATCATGATGAAGAAAATTGTCTTTCCTTCTTTTTCTGTGTGAGTAAAAAGATTGTTGAAAGAGAGGATGAAAAATCCAAAAAGCGCTCAAAGGAAAAGATATGAGAAAGGTAACAGATGACTGACTAAAGGAAAAAGAAATATGCTTAGTTTGAATATAAATCATTAAAGTCATTGATACAAGAATGCAGGCCAATCATGAGAAGTTCCTGCAGATTTCAATCACTGCGCATCGGAAGGACAAAACTAGCCACAGAAAAGAAGGAAATACAAGGAATCTATCACCCATTGGCATGAATTCAGGTTGTAGGAAGTATCAATCATGACTACTTAATTAATTTATGGCAAGCTAAAACAAGAATTAATCATTTAGTGTTACTCTTATTCTGAATTATAAAATGCAGTCTTCAATACTTGACAATTTATGGGAATGAGGATGCTCAGGCACATATCAATGATTTAGCTAAAGTGTACAATTTATTACCGCAAAAAAGGTAGTAGAATGAGACTGAAGGAAATATGTGCATTATAAGAAACCAATCAGGAAAATTAGTTCGATACAAAAAGGAAGCTGTCAAATTGTAAGAAACTGATCAGGAAAGAAAGTAGTTAGATACAAGATTTTAGACCTATTTACCTGTGGGAACTTCCAAATTATTTCCAAGCACAACTAAACGTGACGGCAATTTATTTTGCTAAGTACTAGTTACTTATAATCAACATTATAATGGTAATATGGGGATTATTTTAATAATCAACATTATGGAAACATACACAAAACTTAAAGTATTACATAGTAACGAATAGAAAATTTTACTGCAACCCATGCCAAACATAGGTATTAAGGGTTTAGATCATTGCCCATTTAAGGCTATTTCAAACCCCTATACCTACTCCTGCCTCAATTGTTGCAGCTGCAGCCTCCACGTACATCCTTCCTGTTTGTCGACACCAAAAAAACATCTCCGTTCTTACGCCACATTTTAGCAGTCTCTTAATATGTTCGCAGAAGCTGCCAAACTGAAAGAAAAAAAAACCTAGATCGAAGAAAAAAAACCTAGATCAAATAACCACAAACGTCAATAAATTACGGTGATTTATTGATCATTTGTTCCATCTGATGCATGACAACCTTCAATACGACAACTGAAACTTAAAAAATAAACAGTTAGTATGCCCTAAAATTCATTAATGAGTCCACAAGGAGCAGTATTGAATCAAAACCTAGTACTATTTTCTTTCCATACATAGCTATGAATATCAAGACTCGGGGAATTTAGATATTGATGGCAACTCCAATTTGATCAATAATACAAGGAGAGCTGCAAGTATATTATGAGTGCCAAACCAGCAAGCACCAGAAATCAACCATCCTAAGCTACCGCAATACTCAGTGGCACGGCTATGAGAAATTATCGCTCCATGGGATTAATGCATTCCAATCAAACTCAGCACAAAGCAATCAGACTGAAAAAAGTCAAGATAACTATAGGTAAGAGATTAAGTGAGCAGCACCAACAAGAGAAAAGATTAGCCACTATCATAATACAGACTACAGTCACATATTTGATGTATCCCCAATGCCACCTCTCTTCATCCATGGAAGGCTCCCTGCTTCCGAACATTCATCTGAGCCAGTAGGTAGCTTGCCCTTCAGATTAGACCACTGCCAAATCTTCGACACAGAGAAGCTCTCCCCTTTGTTCCGTGCGCATATCTTCTTCCCCTCCATGATCTCAGCATTGACAGAGCTTAACCCTGTCGGCCTTGCCCTCGTCACACCGCCGCCGCCATTTCTAATTCGGTCTGGCTGGAGAGACACCCTGAGCTCTGAGGTCCCTAGAACATACTGGTAAGTCCCCATTGAGAAGCATCTCCTTGCATCCAAGCTGCTGCTGCTGCTCTCCCCTTCCTCTCTCCTCAAGACAGCACCATTGGCATTGCCGATGCCACCGCCTTCGACAGCGCCCTGGGTCCCGACATTCTTGAACTTCCCAAGCCTCACAGGGAACACCCTCTTCTCAGTCCCTGGCGTCTGCATCCCCTCCGTAGCCTTGTGCCCGGGATATCCGAATCCGTTATCGCAATCTTCAGACAGCCTCCCTTCTTCCAACCCCTCATCGAAATCAAACATCGGATTGTTCTCCGTGAGCCCAGGGACAAAGAGCACCCCGCGACAGAGCGGGCAGGTGGAGTTGGACAGCAGCCATGTGTCGATGCAATGCAGGTGGAAGGCGTGCCCGCACAGCGGCAGCAGCCGGAGGCGGTCCTCGGCGTCGAACTCGCACAGGCACACCGCGCAGTCGAAGGGCTCCTTGTCGCCGTCGCCGCCGCCGCCCACGACGATCTCCCGGTAGGCGAACACCGGCAGCGCGTCGATGAACGCCTGGTCCAGCCCGGAGTCGTGAAGGTGGAACAGCTGCTGCAGCTGCCGCTGCAGCGCCGCGTCCCCTCCTCCCCCCGCGTCATCCCCGGCGGCCGACCGCGACACCCCGGCCGCCGCACCCCCTCCTCCTCCGCGGCGATGCTGCTTCTTCATGAGTAGCCGCACCAGGAGGTGGAGCAAGCCGGAGATGAAGAACACCACCGCGAGAATCACGATGATGAACAGCACCGCGGGGCTAATCTTCCCCCCGCCGCCGCCCCCACTCGTCGTAGCCTGCACCTGCGGCTGCAGCTGCGGCTGCGGCAGCGGCAGCGCGGGCGGCGGAGGAGCCACCCCGGCATACGGAATAGCGTCCCTGACGACGAGCTCCCCACGAAGGCGGCGCGGGGCCGCGGCGGAGGATCCGGCGGACGAAGCGAAGGCCACTTCAACCATGGCTCCACCTCCTCCTCCTACACGCTCGGTCCGGGAGAGCGCCTCCATCACCACCACCCCCGCATCTCATCTCATCTCATCTCATCCGATTCCCCCCAACGATGCTGGTCTGTACAGCAACAGGAGACCACCCCCGCCGCCGCCACCGCCGACGAAATCACGAAGGGAACAGCAACTCTCCGGCGAATCAGTGGCGGTGGCGCGAGCGAAGCCGCGGGGTGGTGGTGGTGGGAGCGCACGAGGTCCGGGAAGGAGGAAAAAAGGCGAACGCGACGGCGCGGCGGTGGTGGAGGAGGAGGAGGCCGCGTGATGTGATGCGATGCGATGCGGTGGCTTTGGGTTTTGTGTGCGGGCGGTCGCTTTCGGCCGCAGCGCTGGTTGGAGTGGGTTCGTTCGCACGCGCACTGAGCCGCTGACAGGTCGAGGTCGCGGTCGCGGTCGCGGCCTCGCGGGGGAGCCGTCGTTTGTGCGGAGGCGTTGGAGGCTCGGGTCGTCTGCTCGTTGACCCCGGCGGTTGCGCCAGCTGTGTGTGGCTGTGGCCAAGTCATTTTCCTTGCGTGTTGGCGAGGGATGCAGAATGACGGCACCGGCGGTTGTTGGGTTGATTAGCTTCACATCGCATGTCACACCGGATGCCAATAGATATCGAATGATACATAATTTTTTCTTAAGTTCTTTAATAGCAGTTTTTTTTTGTTTTTTTACATCGATTAGATTAGCATGAAGGTGCAAATAATGATCGAAATTTGGGTTTATAGACTTATCATAGTGTATTGATAAGGGTTTGTTATCATGAAACATCATAACCCTTGACACTCAAGTTAGGTTTCATACGTAGGGGCGGATGAAGAGTGATAATTAATGATATGATTAACGGTGGATAATGCCAAAATAGACAGAGGCGGGAAAATGGTACGTTTTGTTGCATTTATAAATTTGAGATTATTGTTACTTTCAAAACTATTTTCATCCACATCGAACGAAAGGATATAAATGCCACATAATTTATCGTTTACTTGTTTCCATAAAAAATGTGGTGCTACTTCTACCAAATTTTTTTAAAAAAATGTACTCCCTCCATTAAGTTTGACCATCATAATTTGGCCTGACATAGAGGCCAAGGACAAGAAACACACTTATCATCTTCCTAATCTACTACCAGCCCAATGCATGCATGACGATCACGGTGGGGCTTTAGAGGAGTGCTCCCGAGACGTCCGCGCAGTGGTTAGTGGCTGATTAATTTTGTATGTAAACTGAAACAACCAGCGCGTCGGACAAGACGCAACAGCCTGGCGATTACAAATGTGACGATCAAACTTGAAAAACCGGTTTTTATAAATACGGTGATCAAACTTGAATAGAGGGAGTATGAGCCAAAGAAGTTATGACGATATCCTAACCCTAGGGATACCCTAAAGCTTATCTAAGTGTAACTTGAGTAGTGTCTAATGTAACTAAAGAGACGTGTAGTCTAACTTGATAGAATAGGAGTATGCAGTCACTTAGTTGAGAGGGCCAATCGGTTTATATAAATTCATTAACCATTCAAAAAATAGTTTGGGATTTTACTGTTAGCAAATAAGGCCATGCTTTGCTTTTGTCTCTGAAGCTAATTTTGAATTCTTTTATATATGGTTCAATTTTAATTAAAACTTTATGGGGGCATGTTATCTTTTTACACAACTCTCATTCTATGATAGTTGAGAAAATAAACAAAAATGTGTTGAAAATTATTCTTAAAAATCAAAAATCAAATTCAAAATTAAATTAGTCAATCTTCAACGGTTGATGAGAAAGAGCATCACAACCTAGGAGAAGGGAGAGGAGAAAAGGAGGAGGTGAAGGAGGAGCATGACGAGCCGAGTGGGAGTAAGGCCTTATTTAGTCCTCAATTTTTTTCCCCAAAACATCACATCAAATCTTTAGACACATGTATGAAGCATTAAATATAGTTAAAAAGAAAAAACTAATTGCATAGTTTGCATGAAAATCGCGAGACGAATCTTTTGAGCCTAATGATAGATTAATTAGGCTTAATAAATTCGTCTCGCGGTTTCCAGGCGAGTTATGAAATTAATTTTTTTCATTCGTGTCCGAAAACCCCTTCCAACATCATGTCAAACGTTCGATGTGACACCAACAAAAATTTTTTCGCGAACTAAACACACCCAAACAAAAATGAGCGAAACCTGTTGAAGACCAATCACTCTAGACCCAACGCTGCCCTGTTGTCCACCCAATGCAAAGTTGCAAACGCCCCAGAATCCATTTTGACTTCGCCTCACTCGCTCACCTCTGCCCGAAAAAGGTCGAAAGCTCCAAAATCCAAACTCGTGAGTGAAAAGGCCAACAGTACTTCCACAGTTCACATCAGAGACGGAGGCTCAAAAAAAAAAAAAAGACCTGCATCCGGCAGGCCGGCACCCATACAGTGGCGACCATTGTACTCCATTGCTGAATATAGGCAGCACAGCAGCAGCAGCTCGCTCGGTTCTGGCCTGTGTCGCGAAAAAGGCGTGTGTCCTTGCGACCTGCGAAGGCACGGTCGCGGACAAGAGACAACGGGACAACACAACGCCTCGCCCTCGCCCTCGCCTACCCGTCGCTCCGTGGGGGCATGTGGCCACGCCGCCGGACAATGTCTTTTGGTGCGACTGCGCCGAGGGCGTCCGTCGTCTCGTCTGCACGGCGACAGCGGCCTGGTTTGCGTCGGTTAGCCTCATCCTCTCGTCGGTTCCCCGCGGTGAGCGTTGTGGCCGTGCAGGACTGCAGGTGCAGTGCCCCGCATCCTTTCACACGGCACGCCTGTAGGATGGGGGTTGATGAGCACTTGCTGAGCCAGATTTGGGAGTCGGTTGAACGCCGCCTGTGAACTCCAATCTCTAAATTTAACTTTGAGAGCTGGTTCTAAAACAACGTAAACTCAGCTCTACTTGTGTTACTTTTCTTTTTGGTGAAGTTAAAATTGTTTAACGATGCTCCAGCTAAAAGAAAGTGTGGTCCTCCAAAAAAAAAAAGTGGCGCATCGGCATACTGGGATAGGTGCAGCAGCGGCCGGGCCAGAAAAATATCAATCTGATCTAATATCAGTATGCTCATTTAGTCATTTTGGCGTGCAGTTTTGTAAACTAGACTTGAAACCGAAACCCACCCTACCAAACCGTTTGAGATGAGGTTACCACCATCCCACAATTTGACGGTTACCATGATAACTGCGCGATACACTATGGTTTAAAAAACTGAAAAGGTTATCACACGTGATAACCACGCGATACTCAATCGGTTTTGTAAACCTTGCCTTGCATATGACTAGGAGGCCGATTGGTGTGTTTAGTTCACGCCAAAATTGAAAGTTTGTTTGAAATTGGAACGATGTGACGAAAATGTTGAAAGTTTATGTGTGTAGAAAATTTTTGATGTAATGGAAAAGTTAGAAGTTTGAAGAAAAAGTTTGGAACTAAACTCGGCGTCAAGCTAAAAAGGCAAAACTTCATTCATGTCTGCAATGCAGGTAAAATAAATGCAAGCGTGCCATGCCAAACATACGACCATACTCCCTCCGCCCTGCGTACTTATAAAGTAAGTCGTTTAGGACAATGTTTTAAGTCAAACATTAGGAATATAAATCATAAATAACTCTCTTAAATTATTGAGTTTAAAAATATAAATATTATATGAATAGATTTGTCTTGAAAAGTACTTTCATAAAAGTATAATACTTTCATAAAAGTATACATATATCACTTTTCAATAAATAATTTTTTAGAAACAAATTAAAGTTGTGTTTTGAAGACCGTGTCGCTGCTCAAAACGACTTCCTTTACGAGTTCCTTTACGAGTTATTCCACAACCACAAGACTCCAGTTCTAATGTTCTGCCGGGAGATGCAAAGGACAGCATAACTATTTTTCTTCTGCGCCGACCACAATATATATTAAATAAACCGTAAGTGATAATTCCACAATGGCAGTCACCACTTCCCAAATCAAATCGTCCCCTTGCGCGAGCAAATGTCATCACGTAAGGATACATGTCCACTGTTTGCGATCAGTTGCGCAAGAACGCCAAGGCCAAGCCCTGAACACTGTATAGACCGAGATGAATCTCACACGTTTGTACAGCCCAATCATGATTGTATTTGAAGTAGTGAGAATGTGGGCCTCCCATTGTTCACTTCCTAAGCTGAACGAATCCATTCTCGGTTAGGTACTCCACAAATTCATCTATTAGGTAGGGCCAAGCACCTTCTTCGTCGTAGTTGGATAACTGTGGATCGATCGTCTGCGATAACAGAACACATATTTAGTATTCACAAAGGGGCATCAATAGACCTTTGATGCAGAAATTATCAAAAGATCAAAGGAGGCAGATCACAAAACTACCTAGGTACCTAACAATGACAATCTAAGCGAACCAGATAACATGTCTCATTCTGTGATTCACCTAAAAGAGTTTGTCTGTCACTGATTCATAGTCAACCATCTGACACAAACAAGACTTGCTTCCTTGCATATTTACCCAGAAAGAAAGGAGGGATTAACAGTGGTACCTTGACAAATTCCAACAGTTGAGACCATGTGTCCCTAGAAATGGCTTTATTATGCCTCACCTGAAATTTGAAGGATTTAAATTAGCAAAGTATCATCTGAAACCACTAAGTTTTTGAAATAGCAAGATGCTCTGAAAATGGAAGTACATGGAACCACCTTTGAGGCATACCTGTAAAAACTGGCACCAATGGTCGATAAGGGGCCAGTGCCTTTCAGCAAAGAGCAACTGCCACATTCCAAGAGCAGTCTCCAGTGCGAGAGATTTTTGACCCTGTAAGATCAAGAGCATATTTCAGGAAAATAAACATAGGGAACATCAGGATCACAGGATGATGTTTATGAACAAAAAATGTTGTCCTGCTGCAAATAAAGACAAGGGTTCTGAAACAAATATTCTTCAACTGAGGCTAACCTTTTCCCTAGCCCAAGCAAAAGCAAAGTTGTATATCTCACGGAATTTATCTGAGTGAGGAAAGAGTAACCACACAGATTAGATATCAAATAAAAGATGGCATTGAATTCCTTCCATACACATTCTATTTCAGTTCCTTCATATTGGTCACAAATTGTAAACTAAAATGTAGTGTTACTTCAACATAGAGAAAATCCAACTTCACACAAAGAAAACACATACGGTCATCTTTTATCTCAGCCCGTAAAGATGGCAATTTCTCACGGAGCTTTTCAATTGAATCCACCCTGCAAATACCACCCGGGATATATGAAAAAACTATATCTAAGAAACACTCAATAGTTTGATCAATTACATAGACACCATGATTGAAAATGGCACTCACCCAATTGACTGCAGTCCACCAATGAATTCCTGGCGAGTAAATTCACACATTGTGGCAGCTTTCATGTGCCATGATATGACAAGCTGTTAACAACAAAAATCAGTGGTCGTGTTAATTTAAATAAATAGAATAACAGATCTCTGAAGCTGTGGGTTTCTTTGGAATATATCAAATCTCAAATAGAACTATAAATCCAAATAAAGCGTAGAGCTAGGTTACAAACGAAAATGGAAGTGACAGTTAGCCCAGAAGAAGCTAAAATGCATACCATAACAATATCCTGGGGATCCACCTGAAAATCAAAACAAAGCATACATCTTATAAACTGATAATGACTTAATATGATGGATCCATGATATAATATAATAACAAAATACATACATTGGAACACATATCCCTTAACAAAATAATATTTCGCAAGTTAAAAAAACACTATTTTTTTCTCAAAATCGCAGGATAGCTGTGTTTCATTTTGTTAAGAATAAAACAAAGGTATATACAAGGAAAAGAGAGAGAAAAACACCTCCCACAAAGAGGAAAAGCTCGACCCAAAAAGAAGTGCAATAAATTGCCTAATTCCTCACAGGATGCAGATGCTCACATGCATACATGGTAAATGGTAGTTGCAAATTCTGGAGCAATGTTTATTTGTCAGAGACTACCACAGTTTGATTAGCCCACAGGCAAGCTAAATCTGGTAATAACTTATTAAAAACCGCCTGAACATCAAACGTAGAAAAACACAGTGAAATAAAATCCATCTCTTCCTCGCCAGTGAGATATAGTTGGTACCCAAAAAAAGCTGCAGCTATTAACAAATGAGAGCCATTCCAATATAAGAGTTGTACATAGCAACTCATTGACTAAGTATCGCCTAGACATGCCTGCATATGGAAATCAAACAAGAAAATACGAAATGAGATCGGGAAGATAAATAGCTGTTTCTTACCTGAAGATCAGTGCAAAACTGAGATACACCTTCCACCATGATCATATCAACATCAGGTTCTGAAAAAGAAATTATACCACCTTGAATCATAGGCTAAAGCATTGCAACAGGAGAAGAAAAACATATGTTTCCATAAAGCTAAGAAGAAAAAAAGGTTTGCTGACGGCACATATGAAACAATACATGTAAAGAAATTTATGGAATTTAAACACAATAGCTAGTTAAGGCAATGAAGATCAATACCTTTGTATCTGTTGTACAGATCTTCAAGATGCCGAGAGTTCGTCAGAGAAATTTGTGGTTGGCTGTAGAAAAAATCAAAAGCTCCTTCCAAGTGCCAATCACTAGCTTTCAGGGCCTGAAGGGCGACCTTCTCACTGCATAAGTTAACAAATGTACTTAATGAGTTACTGGTTTCAAATAACAGCGAAAAGGCTTGCTAAAATTATTGTGATTTTACTACCTTGCCGGTTTGTCAACAACAAAGCAAACAAGCAGCATAACTGAAAAATACTATACTCTAGAATTCACTAACATATTCGCAAGTGGTGTTTTACATTACTGGAGGCACCATTTATTTTGTAGACTAAAATAGTGGCATGATGAGCATAACAACTTGCAATTTCACTTTACCTTATTCTAACTAATACATGTGGCGGTGAACACCCTGTAGCTAAGCTCATAAGCTATCACACGAATGGTGGTGTCATTTTTTTCCCCAGATCCATCACCGCTAACTAGGGCAACTAATTTCAGCCTAAGGCCAAAACAACCAGTTAACAGTAACTTGGCTGCAACAAACACATTCTAATCCGATATTTTCAGAAGCTCAGAGATAGTTTGACATCAACAGTGACAACCTAAGATGGCCGTACAATGAATTGAACTAACAAATCACCACCGATTTCCAATCCTAAGAATACCGCAGGCCGTACAATGAATCGAACTAACAAATCACCACCGATTTCCAGTCCTATTAACACCGCAGGTCTAAAGTTGGGGAGCAAATAAATGATCCCACCCACCTCGCACCAGTTATGGTCATGAACTGCTGCACCTTGTCGCGGCTTCCTCTCCCCAGCTTATGCTGCAAACACAAAAACAACCAACCTTCAAAAAGAAGTTTCTCAAAAAGAACCGGATCAAACAAAATCCCGCAGCTCTCACCCAAAATTGCATCGCCAAACCGACGAATCGAACAATGGACAGAACAGCAAAGGCTCAAATTATCGCACGCACACCGATTTCAAACACACACAACCCCCAGAAAAAAAATCACAAATGGGTCGAAACGAATCGCGAAGAGACGCGGAATCGAGACGGGGGGCGAGGTGAGGTACTAACCATCTTCGATCGGATCGGGTGGCGAGCTCGGGGTAGGGTAGGGGGGGAGAGGAAGGCGGTGGGCGAGCGCGAGGGCTAGGGTTTCGCGGGCGTTGGGCTCCTCCTGCTCTTCTTCCTTCCTTCCTCCCTCGCCTGGCTGGCTTTGCTACCCCTCGCTTTCTTTTTTAGTTTTCTATTTTTTTTCCACACATATATTATTTCTTTTTTCCATCCCTATCGCGTCCAGGGTGGCTAGTGGCTACGCAAGCGACGACTTGTCGAGCGGAATGACCGGAAAGCCCTCCTCTCCAGTCTGTGTGTGAGTCACTCACTGCTCACTGCTGAATGGTGACTAGTACTGTATCAGAGGGTAGAATGACCAAAATGTCCTCGCCTCCAGCCTCGGCTGCACAGCTGCACTCGACTCGTGAAAGCTCAGCTCGAGAGCTTCGACTTGACAAACGAGTTACTCCGTTCCTGTAACACATTTTGAATCTTGTAAAGATAAAAGTAAATATAAAGATTAAGTATTTCACGTAAGACAATATAATAATAATGTGTGATTAATTGAGTTTTAATTATTATAAACTTGAAAAATGGATTAATCTGATATTTTAGAACAACTTTCATATAGAAAGTTTTCACACGAAACACACCGTTTAGCAATTTAAAAAGTGTGCCACGAATATTCAAAACTTTATCCACTCTTTATAGTGGAAACGATCTGAGCCTTATTATTTAAATCTATTAACATGAATGAAGTAAAAAAGACTAGCTCAGTTTAGCGAGCTAGCTTCAGTATGCTCATGAACCTTGCCTTCTACTCGGCGCGGGGGAGGGGGGGAGAAGGTTGTCAGTATCGAGATACGTACCTAGTATCAAGGATGTTTAGATACTTTCTTGACAACTGTCAAATCTAGGATCGTTTACGGTGGTATCACACCACTATCAACATAAGAAGCGTAGTATCGTTAGAATCATACTAAAATCGGAATACTAACTCTTTCAAACTAATCAGTATTATTTGAACTAAAAAAAATCGAAACTATCAATGTTAAACAAAATTGTTAGCGCTATTGTACCGCTGGCGGTAGAGAGAAGGGTGGTTGGCGGGAGCGCTCCACCGACAGAGAGGGAGAGGTCGACGGCGAGATCTAGCACGCAGAGCTCGGTGTTGGTGTCGCCATGGAGTGCACAAGCTCGGTGTCGGTTTGGGCTTGGCTCATTTGACATACAAGTCAAGACAAGCCCGAGCAGTATTTCCAGCCCTATTGTCTCCAGTGTGGCGAGGATATGATTACAATGGGACATGTCCGGTGAAAACCATCAAATAAGTAAAAACATGTGAAAACCATATCTAAAAGTTTTGTAAATTCATAAAAAAATACTAGAGATAGGTATAAGCATGAAATACATTCATACCAAAATTTAAGTCCAAACTCAACTTCATTTGATAGAAACAAAAATGAAATTTTTTTTGTGAATAGTGTTCTGTTACAATTCACCTCAAATTTGTATTTTTTTTCTCTCAAATAAAGTTAAGTTTTAAGTTGAGATTTGGTATGAATGTATTTCATGCCTATACCTATCTCTAATATTTTTTTTATAAATTTACAAAACTTTTAAATATGAATTTAACAGGTTTTCACTTATTTGATGGTTTCACTATATATTCCCCCATGGTTACAAGGGCTAAATAGATCAGAGCTGTTCAGGGCAGGTGGACAGAAATCCCAGCCCACTTTGAATCCAGCCTAATAGGACGGGGTTTGGGCTTGAGAGTGGAGAACCAGCAATTCTTTGAGGAATAAGTTTATCCGAGGTTGCTTAACTTTACACCAATCCGATTTTCGTCCTTTTAACCCCAAAACCAGATACAATACGTCCCTAAACTGTTAAAACCGGTACAAATTAGTTCTCTTGGCGGTTTGTAAGACGGTTTTGGCTGACGTGGCGCTTACGTGGCTGGTTTGATTAGATCTTTGTCCCACGTGGCATTGACGTGACGCTTACGTGGCAATTCTACTCCGGAAAAATAATAAAAACCATAGGCCCACATATCAGTTAAAAAATAATTTTAAAAAGGTGGGGCCCACGTGGGCCCCATAAGTCTCTCTCCTTCCATCTCCTCTCAGTCTCTCTCTCCTTCACGGGGAGCGGAGCGCACGGGCGGCTCCTTCGACGGCAGCGGCCGCGGCCGCTGCGTCACGGGCGACTGCGCCAGCGTGCTGTCCTGCTCCGCCTCCGGTGAGCCGCCCACCACGCTGCCCGAGTACACGGCTACACGCTCGGCTCCTGACCCGGCGCCGGCGACGACTTCCTCGACCTGTCGCTCGTCGACGGGTTCAACGTGCCGCCGTGCCGGTGAGCTTCCAGACGACCAACGGCGGCGGTGCCGTGGACATCACGGCGAGGTACGTGCCTCCCCGAGCTCCGTGTCCCAGGCGGCAGGCGGCTGCGCTAGTGCGTGCGGCAAGTTCGGCGCGGCGACACCAACTGCTGCCGGGGCCAGTTCGAGGCTTCGAGCACGTCTGCCCTGTTGGCGTTGGCAGACACGGTAGCTAGCTGGATGAACAAAAGAAGACTTGCTACATGCACAAAGCTAACTAACCGGTACACTTGCTCCACTAGCTCATACAGGACATGCAAGTACTAGCATAGCACAAAGCCATAGCTAACTACTACCTCCATATTTTAATATTTTAATGTATGACACCGTTGATTTTTTTGTTCAACGTTTGACTATTCGTTTTATTTAAAAAATTTATGTAATTATCATTTATTTTATTATGACTTGATTTGTCATTATATGTCCTTTAAGCATTTCATATTTGCACAAAAAAATTGAATAAAACGAATCGTCAAATATTAATCGAAAAGTCAACGGCGTCATACATTAAAATACGGAGGGAGTACTAGCTAATTTACCGATCCTTGCAAGCCACTAACACGAACATATCACATTTGGTAGCACCAGCATGCAACCAGGTCTAACACATGATGTGTTCCAAAAACTAAACAAGCACTCAAGGATCCTATGCAACAAGATTAGTGCTAACATGCCCGCCGACGAGCTACTCCATGTTCTTCAGGGGGCTATGCCCTGACGCCTACAGCTACGCCAAGGACGACTAGACCAGCACCTTCACCTGCCCCGCCGGCACCAACTACCGCGTGGACTTCTGCCCGCCGACGAGTGGCGTGACGGCCGGCGACGACGACGGTGTGCGTGGCCACGGCCTCCCGCGGCTGAGCTGCCGGATTTGTTCAGCCGCGGCGGTGGTCCTCCTCCCGCCGCAGGCCACGGCCTCCCGCGGCTGAGCTGCCGGATTTGTGCATCCGTGGCGATGGTCATGGTCCTCCTCCCGCCGCCGTTCACGGCCTCAAGAGGAGCATCCTGGCGGAGGTGTACGCCACAGCACATGCCGAGCCGCCGCCGCCGGAGCTCGGACAGCCCGCCTCGCTCGCTTGCTCCGCCGCCCACCTGCCCGTCCGCTCCCGGGAAGGAGAGAGAGAGAGGGGAGAGGGAACAGGGAAGAAGAGAGGAGTGAGAGGGTAGGAGTGAGGCTGACATGTGGAGCCCACGTGGGCCCCATCATTTTTTAATTATTTTTTTATGAACCTGACATGTGGACCCATGGTTTTTATTATTTTTTCGAGGTAGAATTGCCACGTAAGCGCCACGTCAGTCAAAACCGCCTACCAAACCTCCGAGGGATCTCGTTTGTACCGGTTTTGACAGTTTAGGGACCGGTTATATCTGGTTTTGGGGTTCAAGGACGAAAATCGGATTCGATGTAAAGTTAAGAGACCTCAGATGAACTTCCATTCTTTGAAGAAAGGCTTTAGAATAATGTACAAAAATGATGTTAAATAAGCACTGCAACAATTTATATAATGGTTTTGATAGGGTTTCTATTGAGTATTGTAATAGAGAAGCAAATTAGATAGCTCATAAATTGGTAAGGCCTGCTTTTTTTTTCTTAAGAAATTCATGTATATGGATTGATGAACCCCCTAACTTTATTATGAGCATGCTAATGAATGATGTAACTATATTTTCGTATTGATAAAGATAGTCGAATGGCATCCTCTCACCCTCCAAAAAAATGATATTAAATGAAAATTGGTCCCCCTGTTGACCAGGCCGGGCTCAGCTGGTCATGTCTTGGATCGATCCGTGGTTCTTTTTAGCCCCAAAAATCCACTGGACAGTTTCAACTAAGTTCGATTAATGGAACAAGTCTACGTTATCTCCCTCAACTATTGCTCTTGGTCGAATTGCTTTCTCAACCACAAAACCAGGTATATCGCATCCTTCAACATTGAACACAAATATACATTGACTCTTTTGATGGTTTGTTAAGCGGTTATACTGACGTGGCAGATTCATGGTCAAACTCACTAACGTGTAACACATGGAACCCCATGTAAATGATAAAGAAAGAATAAACACTGTAGGACCTACGTGTCAACTCCCACTCTTCTTCTCCCATCTCTTACTTTCCCCAACCAAGCCAAGCGGGACGGTGGTGGCCGGTGAGCCCCTCTGTAGGTACACCTCTCGGTCATGGCACCATGCCGACTAGACGTCAGGGTGCAGGCACAACGAGTTGCGACTGTCTAGCCTCAGCTCCGTGCCCACGTGAACATGCCCCTCCCGCACGATCACATGCGATTCCCCTGGCACGCACATCGCCATGTCACCAGCGTTCACCACACAGAGCATGTTGACGCCGCGCTAGTTCTGAAGATGGTCGATGAACACGCGGTTGTCGATGTTCGGGTCGTTGAAGGACACCACGGCAATGGGCAATGGTAGCCGGTGATGATCCGTGATGTCACGTTCCGTATCCGTGGCTAGGCAAGCGTGAAGCTCGTTGGCGGCGAGGACAGCGAGCAAGGCGCCGAGGTTGTGTCCCACCACCTTGATGCTCAGCTCCTCTCCCTTAGACACCTCCAAGAGATGCGTCACCTTGTCCACTATGGTGTCCGAGAGGCTGGGGATGTGGTCTTTGGGCGCAGTGGCAGACCTTCCCTTGTGGCAAGGTGTGGCAGCTGCCATAACTATCTGCCAGCAGTAACTATCAACTAAACAACAACACTACTGACTGTTTCATTGGTGGTTACCGTGATGATGGGGGCAATAAGCACTAATCTTTTAGTATTTGTACTAGTACAAGCTAA